CTACTCACGCCTACCGTTGTATACTGATACTTCCTAATCTCCCTTGCACTTCTGAACTTCCATTTTAAATCCGATAATCCCCAATCCATCTTCTAGATATTATGCATATCGTACTCTGACACGGATTGCTGCGTTGACGCATAGGCAATCGCCTGTGGTGCGCAATTATTTCTGCCGTTGCCGCAGCCCCAGACCATGCCCACGGGCGGCCTGAGGCTTCCAGTCCGCATCACCAAGCAGCAAATGGCAGCTCTTTATCACATTTAACCGTCTCACTCTGTCTCTCGTGCATCTTGGCACATCCTTTTATGGCATTGGCCCTAACTGTCCTGTAAGCACCCTGGCATTCTGGAGGTTGAGGCCCTCCGCTTATGTACTAGCCGAGGTGCTATAAATGATCACAGGCTCATAGGCTCACACCGTGCCATCCAGCGCGATTCCGCTTTTGCTCTATAGCACACGTTTCATTCACGAGCCGTCAAGCTATCAACAGCGGCGCAAGATTTCCTTTATGCCCACTAAGTTCTCGGACCCTACTATTCTTGGAGGCTCGTTTCTTTTTAACGAGCAGCATGCAGTTAGGACGGAGTGCTCTAGGAGGCCTAAGTCTTTATTGAACATGCTTTTGAGAATTTGATGGTTGTCGGTGATAGATTAAAAGGCTTGCAACACCCACTATAGAACCCGTGTTCGTTATTCGCATAAGCATCATTGTCAAATTAGCAACAAAATTCTGGGTTTCATGTCTTTCTTTGTTCACAGGAGAGCCTTAATAAGTACAAAATAGGAAACTACTTTAGTGCTTACACATTAAGGTCGTCATCCTGCCCAAAATGTCTCAAGAAAGCCGAAACTACAGTGTCTCGGGCGATTATGACACATATAGCTATCAACAAGGGCAGTACGATGGCTGGCAGCCAAACGATGGACAACCATACGACGACCAATCATATCGACGAGACAGCAACATGACGGACTCTCGGCGCGACAGCAATATGACGGACTTTCAACGAGACAGCGAAGCAGCTTACCGACGAGAAAGTGATCCTGACTATAGACGAGAGAGCAGTGCGAGCGAGTTTTATCCGCAGCAGGAGACGGACGATTATCGCCGAGGCAGTCAGCCACAGGGCATGAGAAATACTCTTCAACCCATAGAAGAACAAGGAGGTGAGTATAATCAACGGCCCGAGGACTACAATCAGCAGCCAAGGAACTTGCAGTGGGCAGTGGAGGCCCAGTGGGAAGAATCTCATCAATGGGAGTACTCCCATCGTGAGGCTGACTCACCTGGGGCCATTCCTCGTGGCGAGAAATCTGGTACATCCATAAATGCTGCCTTGCAGCCGGACTCATATTCCTCCTTTCCTAACCAGCAATACTCCCATCCAACACAAATGTCTGCCACTCAGACTCGTGATGCTAATGGAGGGTATGACCCCAATTCCTCATCCACTACGGATGGCTTCTTTGCTTCTGCTTCTAATGCGCGGAATATAGTTCTGCGGCTAACGATGTCCTATCCACAGGCTCCGACGTTATTCAATCGCAAATTACCGACGACCAACGTCCTTCTGGGACGTCTTCTGCTGTGGATGCTGTTCAGTGTAACGACGCCTCCAAAGCCAATGATGCCACGAACAGAAAGACGAAAAATGCACCGGATTCGTCTAGGGATCCAAACACAGCAACAACTTCAACCATCGCACCATCGGGTAAGATTTCCGCAGGACCCAGCCCTGGGGCGGGTGGACAGGACGGTGTTAAAGCATCTGCAGGGAAAGCTGGTGCAGGGTCTAGTACTGGAGCTGACGATATTGCTGAGAGTGCTGGGCTAGTGTTGAGGAAAGCACCACAACCTGCTCCAGATGGCAGTCAAGCTACGGCTGCCAAAGACGCAGGCCTTGGATCAGTGTCCACTGGCGTCGCTCGACCGGCTGCCAGCGGTGGTCCGAATAAACCCGTTTCAGAACATGAAGTGGTATACGACGAGGCGGCAGAACGGGCTGCTGGCCAACCAGACCCGGTCTCTAGTACCCACATGAATACCGTGAGAGATACTCTGGCTGAAGCTACTCATCCTGTTGCTCATCCTGCAGCCCCCACTCACCCCCCACCCCCTATTCCCATGGCTCCCTCACCGACGCCTCAAGACGGAGCTCCAATTGCGCAAGGCTCCGCCTCCAGTGCCAATGCAGAAAATGTAGCACAGGCTCTGGAAGGAGGAACTTCGCCAGTTGCTTCCGCTCCTCCCCCTCCGCCTCATGTTAGTCCTTCAGTCTCTCCTTCAACCCGATCCAGCGGAGCTACTGGTGCACAAAGCTTCTCCAATCCTCATAGGTCAGGTGCTCGTGGAGGTTCTGAGCCAGAAGCGGATGTCTCTAAACCTGCCAGGTCGAATGCAGGCCCGGCAGCAGGAATGATTGCCCCGCGACGACCAAATCCTGGAGTCGCACCTGCCAGGCCCGTGGGAAGAGCGAGTGGTTCTAGTGGAATTGTGGCCAAACCCGCTCCACTTGCGCTCAACAAAGCTCCAGTAGGTAATGCAACGGGTTCTCCATCAGCTCTTCTTACCAGCCGATCTTCAAACGCTCTAAGACCCGGTTCAACGCCAAATTTGGCTGCGTCCGAAGTCAGTGCAGATTCTCTCTATAACCAGGGCCACATTATCACAACTCCGCCCCAAGATCAGCCTCTAACACAAGATGCAGGAGGTGAATCCGCAAATCTCCCCGGTGCCCGGCAGAACGAGGTCCATCCACCAAAAAGTGCTGGAGAGGGACCTGAGCTTACCGTTAATTCTTCCCCGATTCAATCTCAGCATTCAAAAATAGACATCATGCAGCAGCCAGACCCTCTTACTTCCATCGTGCAGACTAAAGCTACACCTCTTGCAGAAACGCCTCAGAATGAAAACCGACCCTTGAGCCCTTCTGCTAATTCTGCACAGAAGAGAAGTTTGTCCTCCGTGGCAGCTCCCTTGAATATATCTCGACACCCATCAGCCTCTGCAGACAATCAAAGCATTGATCGAAGCAGTGAATCTGAAGACGTAAGCCAGCCTCCGCCACTCTCCGTCGCTGTTCCGCAGAGGACGAGCCTGCCTCGCACAAATACGCCACAGAATAAACCTAGTTCACCCAGCAGCAGTCCTTACCATAGTGATCAAACATCTGAACCTTCCAAGGCTCCCACTCAAAGCAGTACTCCTCAGAGGCGCCCACCGCCCCCTTCCGCCACAGGCCCTCAGACTGGAAGTCTGCCTTCTACTGGGACAACCGAAACCGCAGGCCAAAGTTCACAACCTTCTACAGCAGTTGCTCCACAGAAAAGGAGCATGCCTCCTACAAGACCGCCACAGAATAGACCTCTCGGTCCTCCGGGCGCTCCTCGGCCTGCAGGCCAACCACCTGTCTCTGCTGTTTCTAGACCTCCAATGAAGCGGCCGCCCCCAACTACCTCAACTCACAGGACTAGCGCACCACCTCCTTCCACATCTAGTTTGGAGAACAGAAGTGACACGAGCCTAGATAGTCGGTGGAAGATGCTTCCCATGCCTTCATCAACACCATTGACGCAACCCCCAGCACTGGATGTTCACGATAGTAGGTGGAAACTACTTCCACCTTTCACACGTGATCCAACTCCTCAGAAAGCCGTGCCAAACCTCGCCAGCAACTGGAAACTTGTTGGGATTTTCGCCCCTCCAGCCGATGCTTCACCATCACCTGTGGTAATTCACAGACCCGACGTAAGGTCAGTGGGTACACAGACTATGAGCACAAATTCAATGGGCACTCAAACAGCAGGCAATCCTCGCTCGGCCCTTAGAGGAACTCCCGCCCCACAGCCGGCAGGGTCGACAGGTATCAGGAGACCTCCTCCACCGGGTGCAGCTCCTCCAGGAGAGGCGCCTGGCCCTGTCCCAAAAGCAACGCCGCCGCTATCATCGGGAGCACCAGCACAGAGGCCTCCTCAGTCCCTTAACCCAGCAAATGGCCCTGTCAGAAAGCCTTCACCTGGTCCTGGTGGAAGCTCAGCCCCAAATGGAGTTCCACCCAGGAAGCCGTCTCCAGCTCCAGCTCCTAATGGAGCTCCCTATCCTGTGCGATCGGCCGCTCAGCAAGGAAGCCCAGGCGCAGCGCCATACCCGGCTGATAAGAAAGTCAGATCAGTTTCCATTTCCGCTGCTCCACCGAGCATTATCGTTCCCAAACCGATCAATCCGACAACAAGGGCAACTTCAGCAGGAGGCTCACTGGGTATCCCGGAACCGACCGCTGAGAACAGAAGAGCCTCCATGGGTTCAGTACCGGCACGAAGACCTTCTCCGGCGCTCCCGCCCGAAGTTGCTGCGCTGATGAAGCCTCCATCTGCCCCTATTTCCCAGGCGAGCACTCCAGCAAGACATCCTTCTCCTGCACCACCCATGCCTGATAAATTCAGGAACATGCCGACGAGGAAGGCTCCTCCTGCAGCTGCGGCACCGTCATGAGGGTTTAAGACTTGACCATGGTTTGTCGCGCCCATTGACCTCCAGGTCCATAGCGGAGGTGTTTGGGTGGCTAAAGCATTTGAATAGTAGATATAACGTATAATTGTTTCACTTCAGAGTTATCGTACTTTCTGTACTCTCTATCAGCTGTCGTTCATCCAGCATCCGCGTGCCTGGGTTAAAAGCGGCGGGTGTTCTGTGGGATACCCACACGTGCTGTGACATCATTTCTGACTCTCAAGGCTGAACTAAGCCATTCGCGCTCCCCATCAACACCACCAGTAAGTAATTAATGGTTAGGCAACTCCGCTTCCTTTCCATCTCTCTGCCCTGGACATCTACAGTACACTTTATTGAAAGCGACCATGACGTCCAACGCGATACTCGATTAATACACAACGGGACAGCATCTGGCCCCTCCCCCATTCCTCCATCCGAGTTATCTGCGACTGCAGCAGCGACCACTACCACCACCATCACCACCACCACAACCACCACTGCAACCATGACAGCGGGACACGAACATGCAATGGATCCACGGTGCGCCGAGCTCTCGAACGTCAGCTACACGAACTTCGGCTTGAGCCTGTACGTACCAATACCCCCGTCCCCCGTTCCCCGTTCCCCGTTCTTCCTTTCCCACCACATCTCAAATACACCCACATGTCTGCATGAAACACCTGCGCTGACTCCAAACCCCTCGCTGCCCGAACCAGATTCATCCTGGTCGGGATCCTGGTCTCCTACCTCCCTCAGCACATCCGCATCATCTCACGGCGGTCGTCGTACGGCCTCTCGCCATGGTTCGTACTCCTCGGCACGACGAGCGGGACGTGCGCGTTTGCCAATATCCTCGTGCTGCCTAAGAGTCGGCTCGACATCGGCTGTTGCCGCCAGGTGGATGAGTTCGCTTGTGTGGCGGGCTTGCTAGGCATTGCGCAAGTCGGCGTGCAGTGGTCTTGTTTTACTGTCATGTGAGTTCCACCGTGTCCGTTTTGATCAAGCAATCTAGACAAGACGCATCATCAAGCTAGATGCGGCCATAGAATGGGATACTAATGCTATCGGTTCTGTAGACTCCTGCTCTTCCTCATCTTCTTCCCGCGCAGCCCATCGACTTCATCCCAGCACACGACAACGAAGAACTCGGGCACACCAGACCATTCGCTTGCTGTGAATGGCATCGGTGTCAACGCCGACATCGACGTCGACAGCCCCTCCTCTTCGTCCATATATCCAGTCGAACCAACCGACACCACCAAACCGCTCCCGCACTCCTACCAAACCGCCCTCCTCGTAACGCTTCTCTCGGTCCTCCACGCAATCATAATCCTGATCCTGTCCGTCTACTATGTCTACCTGCGGCCGCAGCATTCGCAATGGTGGGCCAACTTTCTAGGCATATTCAGCACGATCCTCGCGTCGATCCAGTACTTCCCCCAGATATGGACTACATGGAACCTCAAGCGCGTCGGCAGCCTCAGCATCCCGATGATGTGTATCCAAACGCCGGGCAGTTTCGTGTGGGCTGGGAGTCTTGCTAAGAGGTTTGGCATGGAGGGTTGGAGTGCTTGGGGTGTTTATCTGGTCACGGGCTGTTTGCAAGGTTCGTTGTTGGTTATGGGTTCCTATTTCGAAATCATGTTCAGGAGGAGAGAAAGGCAGGAGCTGGAGGGACGAATAGCTTATCGCAATGGCCCAAGTACAAGTGGCATTGAGAGTGAAATTGTGGGCGACCATGGGACTGAGGCTGAGAATGCGCATGAAGATGCCACAGAAGAGACTCCTCTGCTCAGGGAAGGATGATGGGTCAGGACATATGCATAATCTCTTTCCAATGTGAAACGGCCGCCTCTGGTGCGATATCTACCTCCGCTTTTTGCGACGCTCTTCTCAGCACAGCAGAAAAGTCACCGCAAGCCTGGTTTGGAAGTGGCTCTCGGGCTGGGCTCTTCTGGGGCATGCATTTTACCATCTGCCATGGCGGTCATCTCTTCCAGCTGCTTATCGGTGGTTCCGTCGACTGCTGAATGACCACCCTCTGACGTATACCGAGCATCCGAAAAGTCGATGCCGTATTTCGCGTAGTCGAAATGTTCGAGAGTTTCGAGTCGTTCGGCATATCCATCATGGAGCTCACCTGTTTGACCGGGGCTGCCGGCGAGAGGAAGACCCTCAGCATGATCTAGATCGTCTTCTTTGTGTTCTCCTGTTCGGCCTGCCAAAACCGACTCCTCTCGGTCTTTATAGACGTCCAACAGACCAGGATGAGGGCACCAGATGACTCTCATGCCTGCTCTTCTCCCAGCTTCAACTCCCGGCACACTGTCCTCAAAGACTAAACATTCCTCGGGCCGAACAGATCGCTCACCTTCCCCTTCGGCCGAGATGGTATCGTTGATGACCTGCAAAGCCAGCAAATAGATGTCTGGCAATGGTTTTCCCCTCCCCTTGGGTATGCGGCTATCGTCTCCGACGATTTTATGAGGTTCAGGAAAGATGTCAAATAGCTCAGCCATACCTCGAGTCTTGATCTCATAGTTTTTGGAATGAGAACTTGTTGCCAATGCAAGTCTGATCTGCTTTCCCTGGCGACCAGGACTCTGTACGCCTTCAAGTCTTGTTCGAGCACCCTGTAACCTTCTTACCAGGCTCTCTACGCCTGGCAGGGGCTTGCATTTCTTGAAAGCCTCGGTCTGTAGCTCGACTTGGCGCTTCATAAAATCCTCGTGTGAGATGGGGAGCTGTGCCCACTCGTGGAAGATCTTGCCTGCAGCGGGGCCAGGGCGACCTTGGAGTTGCGCCTTGACTTCCCAGGGTAGATCAGGGCGACCGTTCTCTCGTAGGATTGTGTTGGTCACTATGGTATAGGCGTCCTCGGAATCGATTAGCAATCCATCCATGTCGAAGATACACGCCCGAACGGGAGGAAAACTAGGGTGGTAGATTAGTCAAGGCGTGTTACTCAAGAGTGTTAGGAAGAGTTACTCTTGTTTCGGGGCCATGTTGGGTGGCGGTAAAGTGGAGATCGAGAGAGGAATATGTGGCAGGGCAAGGCGAGGTGAAAAAAGAGATGCGATCTGGTGCTTCTGTACCTGCAGAGAACACGGCCTTGCCCTGCGTACGTTGGACAGAGGAGGTACTTAATCTCTTGTCCTTGTAGAGGATTTTTTTTGGCGCTGATCCTCAGTTTATCGGCGGGGCAAGTGCGAGGACTGGTTAAATGTCGATCGTGGTCGTGGTCGTGGTCGTGGCCGCGCCTGCTCTCGCTGCCTTCCACCAACGTCATTTTTCCAACCCGCTTGCTCTTTCCTTTTTCGAATCCATATCAACATTCCCACGACTTGCAACGACTTGCGTTCATCGCTGCAACTCCTGTAGTTCATGGTCATGTCATTCAAGGCTTCTGGCCCCAAAGTCCGTCCGGATCGAGTCAAAGAACCTCCACGACCGCCATCTCCCATCGTGCCCAACACCAACACCAATCCGATTCGCCCATCATGGAATTCGCAATCTCACTTTCACTCCCGCCGCTCCTCGTCTTCCTCCATAGCCTCCTTTCATTCAGCTCGTTTCTCACAGGATGAAGAGTCTAAGATGGTCGCCTCGTCTCAAATCCTCAAAGCCGAAGCCAATACTCAATTTGCAGGACATGATTACTCACAGGCCATTTCCACGTATGATAGGGCCTTGGCCCAGCTACCCAGTTACCTCAACTATGAAATGGCTGTTTTGCAGAGTAACATTGCCGCATGCCATCTCAGGCTAGAACAATGGAAGGAGGCCGTGCAGAGTTGCGAGAAGGGACTTGATGGCCTTGAGAGAGAGATGCCTACCAAACCGAAGCCGAAACCCAAGAAAAGGAAGCAGGACAAAACGAAAGCAAAAGAGTCTACAAAAACAAGGTTGAACTCCGACACTGAGTCCGAGGACGAGATCGCTAAAGAGTCCGAGCAACAAGATGACACTATTGTTGAACTAGACTCGGATCAAGACGAAGCCGCTGCCCTGGCCTCACTAAATATTTCTGACGCCCGAAAAGAAGACATCCACCGCATCCGTACCAAACTTCTCCTCCGCCGTGCGAGAGGCCGTTCATCTATGCCTGCTCAGTCCGGTTCCAGTACTTGGGCCAACCTCTCCGGCGCACTGGAGGACTACAAACTCCTTTCCACATCAGCCTACTCCAGTACACTCCCAATCTCGGACCAGAAGACCGTTCGTGCCGCTCTAGTCAGTCTGCCGCCACAAATTGACAAAGCCAAAGAGAAGGAAGTCAGCGAGATGATGGGAAAGTTAAAAGATCTGGGTAATGGCATTCTCAAGCCCTTTGGTCTCTCGACGAACAATTTCAAGGTTGTTCAAGGTGAGGGCGGCGGATATAGCCTTAGTTTCGATAGCGGGGGTGGGGGTGGTGATCAACAAAAGAAGTGATTTATTTAGAATGAAAATACGCATTGCTTTCACGCTCCTGGGCGGAGCGTGTTGGAGTTGGTCCGAACGAGGAATGCAAGACATGTCGGATGTGGAACCCATGATTCTCTCTCTTCTTCACCCGAATCCCTTCCTATGCTTTCGGGGAAAGATTAATAACACGTATGTATATTCATATGCATATATCAAAACGAACATATCAAGAAAGCGCCCCTACTTACTCGTACGAGTAGAACCGACTTCGGACTTCCCTGCTCCGGGGGAACTGGCTGTCCCATACTTGGAAAATTAATATGTACACCCATGCCAACAGGATAAGCAGAGGGAATATGGGGCAGGTGGCGATTTCCACGAGTACTAGCAATATCGAGGCATAATCAGGTAGGCGTCCATCTGATTGGTTCGTCTTCACTACGTCCCTCTCTGCTCGGATGAAAGGTGTACTGCTGTATCCCATTGAGTGGGCTATTCCGATGTCCAGCCACCGAAACCGCAGCGGTGCCTTCCACAGCCAGAGTCTCATTTGAGGCGGTTCCCTTGGCAATCCACACCTTCCACATCTCGCGGTGGAAATCCTTCCTGCGTTCGAGGCTAGTTAGCGGAAACCGATGTGCGTCGGCGTCGGCCTCGGCAATCATCAGCTTGCACTCAATCTTGATCTCCTCGTTGACCCAGAGAGGCTTGTGGTTCTTGTATTCGAAGTGTTTGATGAAGTAGTCGGCCTTCTTATCCGGGCTTAGCTCGGCGAACACCGTTCGCAGCATCTCCAGCATCAGCACAGAGGTCAATGGTCCGTGGACAACCAAGTCCGGCATGCCGTAGACGCTTTTGGTGTATTCACGATCGAGATGAATCGTGTGACTGTTGAACGTGAGCGCGCTGAAGCGGAACAACATAGCTGGAGTGGGCATCATGGTCAGCGAACGAAGTGCCTGGCCTGGGACGGGTAGCATTGAGCTCTTGTCGTCCTTAGACCTCAGACTGTCTGGAGTGTCCTGGAAGAAAAGGAGCCCCTTCTTCTCCCTCAGGAGATACCTATTTGGTTCCTTGATGGCACCGACCTGTGCGTCTTTATTCTTGAAGTAGTTGAAATCTTGAACGATCTTAACCCAAGCTCTGCTCGCAATCCCTGTCCCCTGGATGCGGCATGATCCAAGTCGTTCAGCTGCAACGAGCAGCTTCCTCTCCCTCCGTCGCAAGAAGGATGGCTTGAAGTCCATGCTACCCCCGGTCCAGACTCGGCACTTGTATTCTGGCCCAGGCGAATACTTGAGTTGTGCACCATCGTCGCAGAGGTGCGACTCTGGTTCAAGTCTTTTGTGCGAGACCTGGTGGTAACCTGGAGGGACCATGCCACGAAGCGGTGGTACATCCATGTGTTCGCGCATCATGGTGTGCAAATCAATAATATTGGAACTCCAAGGCGTGACCACTTGCCCGAGCGGGCGCTGGTCAGGGCACTGAACAGGCTCGGGTAGCTCGTCGTTGACCGTTTCATTATCGTGGATGGATATCAAAGAATCCTCCCTACGCCTAAAATACGAAGCTCTCGAATCAAACGGAAGCGTTATTGGTACAGATGAAATCCCAGACACCCATCTTGATAGGCCCAAGTTTGGCTGTAGTCGAGCTCGGCCGAGAACATGCATCTTTGGTGAAGGAGTAACCTGGAGCTGTGGGAGAACTCTCCCCAAAGTAATTATTAAATGGTATTATTGGTCATCCATCTGACAGAAGCTCTCAATGGGAGCTCGACGGGTACCCTTGTTGACACTGTACAAGCAGCATTCCATGGCGAGAAGGGAAGAGGCTAGAGCTGGTGATGGCCGTCTCGAAGCAAGGCTGTTCATCTACGTCGGTTCAAGCAACGCTGGAGTGCAGTGGTTCATTCATCTACGGCGGAGCATTTATTCCAGATACGCCACCCCATTCTTTCGCTTAAAACGCCTGCTCTCAGAGGCAACCCATCACTGTTTCCTGTCCTGCGACACTTCCCAATGATGGAGTGTCTGAGAGTCAAGGACAGACCTTGCTTTGCTTCGTTCAAGGGCATCAATTTTCCATGAAAGATGTCTGAAAGGTACGTTTCCACAAGAGACAGCAAACGTAGCTGGTATTAAGTACCTGACAATGGTACTGTAAGAACCGAGTGGCCTGCTGTTGATCAACTCATGATATTCAGGCTGAGTCAGAATACGCATTGCTGCCCTAGAAAGCTATACATTTGTGAAAGAGTATGACTTATACGGTATCGAGCCTTTGGATGGCACAGCATTTGTCGACTGAGACTACCTAGTCACTCGTTTGTTGATCGCCTCATCGGGATCATCCCACACTTGAAGATGTCAAACCAGGTAGGTCAAGTCAGCCCATACGATAATTCGAGAGTCTGGTCTAAGTGCACAAATGCTACGCTGGATATTTTGGGTCTGTCGTTCCTTCTCTCTCGATTACATCCATCGAAGAGAACAGAGTCTCGTGGCCACCCGAAGAGTCGTCGACGACAATTACATTCTCTCTAGGAATGCGAATGCTTCTCGTCGGTGACTATTAAAACAGGACACTACAATGCGATGCTTTATAAGATCACTAATCGAGAACGCCAAGCTCACCCCCGTCGGCTGAGGTCCCCAAGACAACATCATTTCGTTGCATTTTGTCCGTGCTCGGATGAAGTACGTGGGCGGAAGACGGCACGGAAAACAGTCGAGATCATGATACCAGAAGCTAGATAGCCATAATGTACTTTTGGTAGATAGATCTCCGCTGCATGTTCTTGAGAACGATTTTCGAGAACCCACCGATTAGGCAAGAGTTTCCAATCTAGCTCATATCGATCCCTGACGAGACCTGACGTCCAAGTGTCAAGTAAGGCCAGCGCAGCTATGTATTTCGCTTTCCCTCCTGTCGTTCCCCTGAGCCTCAGCCCTGCCTCTCGAGCTCGCTCCACGCCAATTTGACAGCTTCATCCATGACATCAGACCCCACCCTCCAAGACCTCAAGACAACACCATTTTCATGCATGACTTCCTCGGCGTATTGCCAGCGGCGCCGCCAGATTTCGAGTTTCTTATCATACGGGGCACCGGGAAGGGCGCCGGCATCGCCTCCTGCTGCTGGATCGCCGCCGGTTGCGCCGGTTGCCCAGCGACCTGCTGCTGCCGCTGCTGCGACTGGATATGAGGAGATGCCTCGGCGTGGTGGGACTGGTGGGCCGGGACGATTCTCTGGTGAGGAAGATATGTCAGCTTGATCGGAAGGTCCACCGCTGGTGCTTCGTATGGCGGGGAGCGCGTTGTATGCTGAGGCGATCTGGCGACGAGCCATAGAGACGTAGCCTTCCAGGGATTCGGAATTGGTGGTACGAGAAGAGTAGGTTGAGGTCGAGACTGTGCTGGCGGAGGTATTCGTCCTTGATATTGGGGGTGGAGGGGCCGGGCCATGGGAGGACCTTACAGAAGCCGAACTATGGTGACGGGAAAGATTTGAAGTTTGCTGTTGGGGTTGGGGTTGCTGAACCTGGGAGGCTTGATTCTGAAGTGGAGAGGAGAATGGCGCGCGCGAGAGTGGAGGAGGAGCTGAAGATCTAGCATTGTCAGTCTTATTGCTCGATCCCACGTCTCTGGATGTACGACGAGGTTTTGGTGGTGGTGGTGGGGCTTTCTTCCTGTTCAATGAATCCTGACCCTCCGTATCTGAAGCGGATATTCTATCATGATTAGTAGGTGATGTGGCCAACTGTGATGTCGTTGATGAGAAATTCCTAAGACTCGATGGTTTGTTGGGTTTATTCGGAGCTGGGCCTTTCCCGTTCATTCCCAGGTGGCGCAATTCATCAACGTGCGAAGGCTTGCCGTTACCCTGTGCTGTTGGAGTCGCGTCGATATCTTCGCTGAAGTCGATGAGGTCCTTCTCAGCATCTAGAGGTTTTGTGATCGTTTCGGGATCTGAGTTTGGCCGTGCGGGAAGAGAAGGCCGGTCTTGTGGCGAGTCGGAGCTTCGTTGTCGAGGCGAACGGGATAACCGATGTCCTTCGGTCGCGGGGATCAACGAATCTGGAGGCGTGTTTGAAACAGATTGATCAAAAAACCCCTTCTTGACCGCCGTCGTCACATCCCTGATGAATACACCTAACACCCGTCCAGGATGGTCGATGACAACATCAGTGTAGACTTCTAAGTCCGCTTCGCCACTGTCACCCACCAAGATAAACTTCCTCTCCGGAAAATCCCTCATGATTCGATCGAGAGAGCCTCGTTTTCGCTCCGCAGCTGGCTCGAAGATTCCCTGTAACATTCCAGAATATTGTTTGAGGTGGAATGAACCGGGTGGAAGTCCTGCAAGCGAAAAATAGCTACGGAGGAGCGGATACAACTGCCACGGAGAATTTGACACGTAATGCATCTGGACCCCTAGGTTGGCCATTTTCGTGTACCATTCCTTGACGCCTTGAATTGTCAGATCGCCCAAATTCCTGATGAAGGTGTTCTTGAAGATCTCTCTCGCTCCACTGGCAATGGCGGAATGCTTGATGGTGTCATCAATATCGCTGATCAAGCTTACTCCACGGCCCTCCGTGATGATAACTTCTTCCGTGGCGGACAGATTTTCCGAGGCCAAAACTCTTACCTGAGTGGGAATGAAGTCAAGCGCAGCGCGAAGGTTGAAATGACCGGATTCATCAGTTGTAACCGTTTTTGATACAGACTTCTGATCATTGAAGAAGAAGACGGTGATTGGAGTCATAGCCATCGGCATGGTCATGAACGGCTTCAGCCTCGACATGAGTAACTCGTTGGCGGTAATCAGCTCATCTCTACTCATGTTTGCCGGCTCATTCCAGGATTGACGTTTGACAATTGATCTATGACCTGGATCGTCATCTCCGCTCTCATTTCCACGGAATGTCCTTGCCCTTACTGGTGAGCCAGCTCGGCTGACAGATCTGCTCGTAGGAATCTGGCTGTAGTTTCCCGTAACTGCAGCATCTGCTTCTCTTTCTCCATGTTGTGCAATCCTATCAGCTTCTTGGGTAGCAACTTCATCCTCATGTCTGGTGGTGGCATCCTCAAGGCGGTCTCGGTTGGAAGGTGCCTGACTAGACGACCGACTTTCACGAGGACTGGGAGCGGGATCATAGACACCACTCAGCCTTCTTGCCACAGCCACCAGAAGTCGATTCTTCCTACTCATCGGTCCCATTTGTGGCGAGTAGACCCAACCCCTGACATCGACATCGACAATCGCATTGACATCTTCATATTTCTCCCATTCCCTCTTCCAGAAGTCTGCGTCACCACTAGAATGAGGACTTTCAACAGACTCATGGGTTCCTGGCTGATGTCGAGCAGAATCTTCTGGATTAGATTTCTGCTTGATATGGCGCCTGGCGTAGCTGGGGAAAAGAAGCATCTCCTCTCTCCCACTCCTGACAATTTCCACATCAGGAAAATCTCCCGGCATTGATCCATCAGTCTCGCTCGCTTGTAACCGCTGCTCTATTTGCGCCTGGTATGACTGCCTGACTTCATTTGCTGCACGTAGAAAGCCGCGAACCTTCTCCCTCCTCGACCCAGGCAATCTTTGCCCTCCTCCTCCAGCACCACTACCCCCATATCCATAACTCGTCATCTTCTCAGAAGGAGCTGCGGAAGAGCTTGAAGTCGAAGCGGCGTACGAACCTCTAGCAAAGGATCTTGAAGAAGCGCCAGCAGCATGTTGGTCTATGTTCTTCCCATACAGCGCGCGGAGGATGCGGCTCTTGCGCCTTTGGACGAAGGGTAGAAACCCCTTTCCCTGAGCTCGTCGTTCGCGTTTCTTGCGCTCGCGCCGTACTATTGCCTGGTAGATACGAGCCTGCGTCCGGTGCCGCAAGTGTGGGAGTGTTTCGTGTCGGAACCCGAAGAACCGCTCGCGTGCACGTCGATGTGTGTTGGGAAAGAGGTACCGGAGCAGGGAGAAGGCGTTCCGTGGTCGGCTACCAGGGGTGTTGGAACTGCTATTTCTGGTTATGCCAGAACCGAAGACACCACGTGGCACGGGGGGAGCCACGGTGGAAGGTTGGTGCTGCGGTTGAGGTGAAGGCTGCTGTCGTAGGGGTGGAGGGTGGCGGTAGGCGTGGCTTCATAGAGTTGTGAGAACTGGAGCGTGACCGACAGGGAGGGAGAGAAAGCGAAGGTACATCAGCTCTAGGAAAGCTCTAAGGATGAAGAAGTTGAGGCGATGGATTAACGGACGGGTCAGGTTGAGGAGGAATGAATGGCAGTTTGTTCCATCTCACAAATAACTTGTACGTCATCCGCAGCCTCGTCAAGATGCGTCACATGAGGACTAGCCTAAATTGGCGCCACAAGGCTGCGCCTATCTCCAGTTCCCATTCCCCCTGACTGTCTCCCAGTCATCATATCTCTTGGCAAGAAGATCCGAAGCAGCTAACTATGGCCATCCTCGATCTTTTCAGTGACTGGTCCTTCCTTCTAGTCGGTGCTGTATGACTGAGGCCAGCACCTCGGTCAGCGATCTAATGAAGGAATCCCTGCTAATGCAATGAGATCATTCTCGCGACTCTTTGGTCCCGATGTGGCAGTACTTCCCAATACAATCGGCCAGGCATTTACTCTAATTACTTCTTAGAGAACTCTTTCCCAAAAGAGTATTTGTGCCTAACCTGAAACCATACGAGCACCATTTGAGTTTTTTTCCGACAGGCTTTCTAGGAAGCATCGACCGCTGGGCACCTGACACGACGGGGATATCGATGGGGATCGCTGCTTGCATCTAATTCGTCCATGTTTTACTGTTTTTGGAACTCCGCCGTATCCCGAGATGGACGGGTATCGTTTGTGGAGGTCTTGAAAAGCCGAAGTACGCCGCGTACGATCAGCAGCCGCCGAGCCACCACATACAAGAATCGTGAGAGGATCTCAGTTGCTGCCTGTCATTCAAATCGACTTAAGATATCTCGAATCTGCAGCAATGTCCTCAAATTGTTCATTTTTCCCCACTATGCCCCGGAGTGGCGTTAGCTTCGAAACTACACCCTTGCTTCAATCAGCATTAGAATACAGAAGAAGCACATGAGCCCAAGCGCAGTCAACCACTGTCTTCGGTCAGCATGTTTCGCAGTACTGTTATCGCGTCGGCTTTCGATTCTCTCCGGCAAAACTTTGGACATGGAACTAGTTGTGTATTCGTGTCTGATGCATGATCTGGAATGGGCAACGACGAAAGAGCTCCTATCCACCGATAAACGCTTCGAGGTTGACTCAGCAAATCTAGTGCGCCAATCTGTCCTCTCGGACGCGAACGTTTCATGGGACCGCCACCGCGTGCAGCTGAGCTGGGATTCAATTGCCCTGCACACCACACCTTCAATTGCACACCACAAAGAACCCGAGGTCATCTTGGTCAGATTCAGGGTTTCTGCTAACTTCTTAGGTCCAAACCTTCCACCCAAGGGCTTAATCAGTCCGGAGGAATTCAAAGAGACCGTTGACACATTCCCACGACTCGGATCCAAGGATGAATTGATTCGCACTATGTGCAGGCTGTGTCGAGATAAACCTGAGACAACTTTGGACAATTTTGCGTCCCTGTTTGGAGTAACTTGTGGAATTGACGAAAATGGAACGGGAAAAGAAGAATTCCTTGAAAGACTTGCTAAGCATGCTCCGGTGAGGACCGGTGTGGCGGCTTTGACTGCTTACGAGGAATATGAGTGACGAGGTGACTACATATAGAGTGCTTACAGTTGGATCTTCGACTACTTCAGGAGCTACGCTGCCAATGGTTTTCAGTGCTAAACGGGTCCTGTTTGCTAGAATCACACGCATTAACAAGGTGTTCTCTTCTTGTTGGACTTCCGCACCTAGGCATTCTCCGCATCACTACTTTAGGTTCATATGTACTATGTACTACGTGTTTCTTTCCCCTTGCTTAGGAGGTGGGGACATCCCATTCATTTAGCCTGTTTGATACTTCTAACCACCCCGAAACAGCAATTATCCCACTGCCCTTTGAATAGCATTGCTATGACAGCTTTACCTGTGTACCTGGTTGGTACCACTCCTTTGAAAAGCCTTGAGCGTGTAGCTGGAGGTTTGGAACTTTCGTTCTGAGGCTAGGCTAAAATGTGATTCAGGTGGAGGCTCGGGTTTTCAAGACTGTGTAACGACTGTGTCACAGTGAAGTGTGAGACTCAACTCAGATGAAGAGCCACATTCTAGCTATATAAGGTTGTCACTCAAGTAGCAGCAACTATCGACAATGACAACCTTCAAAGCCTATAGTCGACATTGGAGTTCTACGATCCCACTTTGGCCCCAGCCCCAATTGCATCTAGGCCTCATGTCAATACTGCTTCAACGACGAAAAACATTAATTTTCCATTAACTCGACAGAAAACCATTGTGACTCGGCCAGTCCCACCAAGCCTTCGAGTCTTGAAGAATTCAGCTGCGCTAACCGATTCGTCCTATCCAATGTTCAACACCCAGCCCATTTCCCCTAGACGTCACTGCCTGGTCGCAAGCTTTGGACGAAATACTACGTATCTTGCTGGTGCTAGAAATGATTTACCCCGTCAGAAGGGTCGTAAATCGGCTACCAGGACTTCTTCATTGAACAAGAAAGTTCCACGCGGTAGGTGGGATTTGAGGAGACGTGATTTGTTATCGGTATCCTGCTGGTGGGTTCAACGCAATTTCGACCAAGATGTGTGGAAGCCAAATGCATGGAGTTAAGCGGCCAGAGACAACATAAATACTTTTGAGTACTGGATAAAGTACTCCGTTTTGATACCCGAATACGCATCTTCTGCATATTGCATTGAGCTTATTCACCCTAAACCCTTCGTTGCCCTAGTCCGCTACCTCGTTCCGCCAGATCGCCCGAAGGCTTACCCGAAAGAGCATCATGGTCAAACGAGAGGGAAGGGATCTGCCAGACCCTGGTTTGATATGCCACCGCTGATATGATGGCCTTCTATAGTAAAACCACGCGGATAATCCGGAATCACCCTCGCTCGCGGCGTGGCCCCCTGCCCATGTTGAGGCTGTTCTTAGACTATTACTGAGGCTCTGCTGATGCTATCCATCAGTATCACTTATTTGTCATGTTATACAGCCCTTGCTGCGCTATTTCGTGCTAGCAAACACCATCCAAACTTCGACGGAGTTATAATCTCCTGGCTTATGGTTTATTGCACATAATCCACTGCGTGTGTGAGAGAGTGAGAGAGACTATTGGAGCCTTGCGTTGCTTGAATGCACTACATCAGGACTTGGCCTGCGTACATGGTCAATAGGCGTCCGGCGTATGATGACAGAGTAGGAGACGGGAGCATGGGTCTAGAATGCGATCGTCACACTGGTCCCCTGATACATGTGACTCCGAATGATAAATCATCCTCATTACCTATGCAGCACTTGAACAAGATGAGCTGTGAACTACATATAGAGTTGCCGGGTACGACTCAAGCTGAATCGTGGGAGACTTCACAAATAGCATAAACGGATTTGAGATATGGTTCGCTCAGACATTGTGCTTGTCCTGGCCTTGACCGCTCACTTCGGATTTGCGCGCCATTGCCAGAACCTCACCATACCTGTAACGATCTCTGCACAAAACAGCGGCTGGAACATCAGTCCTCCTTCCAACAATGTGGAGGTAATAAACTGGGTTCTGGACGTCAACAGACAGGGACACACATATGCTCAAGATGTGTTTGGTGGGGTGTGTACCACGGCATATACCTTCTCAACACTGCTTATGTACTAATGCTCATTTTATCAGTACACCACTGTCAGTGGCACCTACAACATTGGAACCACCTATTGTTCGCCAGATCACGGCCATGGCAAGAAGATCCAAATTCTCACTCATGGAGGTGGATTTGACAGAACGTAAGATTATTGCGCAAAATCTGTTCAAGACTTGTGCTGACCTCGACTTCGAGCTACTGGGATTTGCCATACAATAACTTCAACTATTCCTATCTCAACGCAGCCGTAGATGAATACGGCTTCAGCACTTTAACGTGGGATCGAATTGGCGTTGGCGAGTCCGACCATCCTGATCCACTACGGGATGTTCAAGCCCCGCTCTCAGAACAGGCTCTGAAACTCATTACGGAGTTGATTCACAACGGCACCTTCCCAGGCATAGAACATGAGTTTGAAAAAGTGCATCACGTCGGCCACTCGATCGGTTCTGCACTAACTTTGAGTCTGATCCGAGACTATCCAGCCATATCAGACGCTGCGGTCCTCACCGGCTTCAGTGCGAATGGAACCTGGGCCGACTACTTCATGTTGGGCTCTAATTGGCTCTCGACCACGGAAATCCCCAGGTTTTCGAAAGACTATTCCGCTGGCTACATAGCATGGGACCACCCGTCCGGCATACAGACCGCCTTTCTTGCACCAGGAGAGTTCGATCCAGAAGCCCTCATCTGGGCTGCAAACAATACCAGTCCTACCTCTCCCGGAGAAGTCCTCCAGGTCGGCTTCCCAGAGAGAAACAACTTCACGGGGCCCCTTCTCGTCATTACCGGAGAGCGAGATCTTGTATTTTGTGGAGGTGACTGCTACAAGACTGGAGACCCTCAAGTCCCTAGTCTACTTAACTATACATACCTTATAGCCCCAGATGCTCGACCTCTCAAAAACATTGTCGTTCCTCGAGGTGGCCATGGCTTGAATATGGAATATGGTCACAAGCAGACATATGCGGATATCAATAAATTTTTGCTAGAGCATTAGCCGTTGTCGGATGCCCAAGTCAAAATGCCCATACCGATATCGATAACTAGATCTGCGATGGGGAAGATCAGAGGTTGTAGAAAGATTTGGTAGTAATTGATCGGTTAATTGTTTTATCTCGGCTTATCGTGTGCTGCTTCGATATTTTCCGGCGTCCATTGGCAGGCAGCAAGTAGTAAATATTGAATGTGTGTTTCTTTCACTGATGGTATGGTGATGGGGGGACACGAAGGGGGTAGAAGCCTCCTGGTGAAGAGTGCTTTTGTTTGGATGCGTACTTAGATGGTGTTCAATATTCAGGGGGCCATAGACTTGTCCTTGGCAGCGGTAACATGCTGAGAATTTTCGGCTAGATGAATTAGATATCTATCTAATGGACTCGGCAGCCTCGTCAACAGTCGCGAAAGGCTACGGAATAGAAAAGAGTGGTCGGCATTGACGGTCCGTAAATAGGCTCCTACTCCCGCATGATTTAGATCGTTCATGTCTATGATGTAGGCACTGAAAGCCTTCCTGGAAAGCGGAGCCAAACAAGCTTAGGCAAGCCTGGCCAAGTCTGAATTTGAAGCCCAGCATTTGAGCTAGCCAACGAAGCATAGGGCGTGATTCATCCTGACTCGCGGACAGGGACACTACGAACTGCAGGCATAAACACATTTGTACATAGCATTGCAGTGGCATGACCGCTTGGTGTATTCTCCGAGCTTGTATACTTTCAGCATGGTGCCAGGTACAATATTAGGCCACCCCTGTGACTGTTGAATACAAACTTGGCAACTTAGGCAAGTCCAAGAGGATGATGATTGAGGTCTCTGGCCCTTTCCACTCTATGTTCTCTGTTCTAGTCTATATACGAATTAACTGGACATTTGACCTTCAGGAGCCCTTTTTCAATGATTTCAAAGCATTCCAAATGCCGATACAGTGGCGCTTTCATGATTCAAGATAGGAGGCATTCTGGCCAGCGCCACGGAGTGTTTGAGGTCCATTTTTGCTAGTGCGTCACGTGCCTGTAGAGCTAGTACGCGCTAATTGAATATTAGCGTCAACAGTAACTAAAACTCGAGTCAGCATCTTACAACATAACGTGAGAATGTTTTAATGGTTGTCATGAAAATAGCAGACTTGAACTGACCACTGGGTATCGACCCATATGCATGGACAAAGTACGCCATCGGCCTCGGAGCCGAAGAAGGGCATCAGAATTAGCAGAAACCCCATCTAGAGTCCGTGAAGACATTAACTACGGTGCGCCCGAGAGCAAAGTGCTGCCATTTACCTCTGGAGACAATGTCAAGGTGCATGTGGAGTTCGATACTTTGGCAAAAGTTGATTTTGGCACTTATATACCAAAGAAAGAGAACTTTGAAAAGGCTGCCGTCAAAGCTGGGAGCAAGATTTTAGAGTATGTGAGGCCTGACAAGTCGAAATGACTGTGCAGGCGTGGAAAACCCTCGGGTGGAGGGAAGAAATACTCGATGAGTATCCAAATCAGCTCGTGGTTGCGACGACAGCATGAGCCATTGAGCCATTGCTCTAATTTTTACGGTTCCATGGTCATAGAGAAAACAACCGAGTTTGATGCCATATCAAATTTATCAAGTGTACAGTTGTTCCTATATCCTGGACCAATACTATTGTACCTATGTTCTTTATGGCCGCGACATAGACGACCTGGGGCGGTCGTGTGGATACTGTTCTCGGGTTCAGGTTATCACAAGCAGGGCAACGCCTCTGGACAGGCATTTCGAGTCATAGCCATGGTACCACAATGAAAAGTTCCTTTTCTAAGCAACTCACAGGAGCACGGACGACATAGTCACTTAGCAGAGCCACGATATCACCCTGAACTCATGGGTACACGTGGAAAGAAAGAATCACAAGGTTGGAACCAAATTAGTAATTCAACGCAGGCTGCTTGCAATCGCCGAGCCCTATTCACAACGACCAAAAAAGACATATCCCAGAAGACCGGTTGACCGCTGACAGTAAAGAAGCCAGGAGGTGATCATTCAACATGCCTAGAGTAGACTGTGCGCTACGACGTAACCTCCAGAATCAGTGATGAGAACACGTACATAATTACGTGATGAACACAAGGAGCGACAGACGATTCCAATGCCGCGTGTCGAAAAATCTGCGCGAACAGTGGACTTTTCGAACCGTTACAACGGTAAGAAGACAGAGTATATCAATTTCCCGCTACTGTGCTTTTTAAGCTGCCTGTCTCTAAGTTCCAGACCTAACCATACGTCCTCTCCTTTAGCTCGGGTCGCAAAAGCTCCGAAGCCCGAAGAAAGGCCACTTCATCTTCAGCACTGTCTTCGAGAGTCCTGGTAAGGCGTATCAGCGACATTCCGAAGGTAAACAGGGATTCAGATGTCTCTAACCCCGTGATCTCTGCAAATTTCATGGCCTCTATCTCTGCCTTCGACCCAGGTGCAAGATCAATTAGTTGCTCTCTCACATTGGCATCTCGAATCTGAAGACCGCCACAATCGGTATGTTTGACAACAAGTATATCTGTAAGTCCAACAAGATAGTCAAGTGCCAGAATATTTGGGAGGACTGATCTGACATCTGCACCAGTAGTCCTTGAAACAAGGGTTTCTGTGACATGGAGATTAGGACCTTAACGTTCGTCATGGGCCTGCAAGAATTGAGCTTCCCTCCAATTTCGAGCTTGAAAAAGCGCTCTGGGATGCACCTTGGATCGGCACAGGTGACTACAAGTTGATACCGTCAGGTTTTCAATACCCCGATCTCTTTGTCCTTGAACAAGCCTGTCAATATCTGTGGTGCGGGTGCTCCAGCAGCTCCGAACTCTTCCCAAGTCGGAATTCGCTTGTGACCTTCTGCATACGTACTGCATGGGATCAGACAGAATAGAGCTTCTTGGTGGAATGACAATACCTATTTCGAGCTAATAGTTCTTTCACAATAACACCCATCGCCATTCTAGATGTTTCCTAAGGAGCTCAGAGTTCAATCTTTGGTATTCAAGCTGTGGGAAAGCAAGTCAAAGAATTTTGTTGTATTTCAAGGTGGTCAGGGACGAACTATTGCCTGATTTATATAGCTGGGCTCCCTTCGGAGCAGGGTTTCTATAGTTGTCCTGATGCCTAGGTCAGAATGAGGTGCTACGCGTCCATGATTTTGTAATCCGCAATCCTTACCAATAGGTGGTCTTGCCTTCAGAACAGCTAAAGTTCTACATCACCCCTGGCTGGAATATGGGTTTTCACTACATTTAACTTCCTATTGGAGTAATCAAGCCTTTTTAGGATATTCTATGCTGACTGAGAGTCCCTGCTTTGTAGAGAGCGCCAGTGGTAAGCAACCTTTGGAACAATCGATGTTCAGGAGTTTAGCACGAAGACAAGAAGTGCTGTAAACACAGCCTAGCGCCGCAGTAGGGAAACCGTTCGTCATATTGGGTCCTGAGCTCTTCCTCCTCTTTCTAAACAAGGCAATTTACAAGTATACTAATCATTTCCGCAGGACGCCTCAAGAGGTCAGTGGATACGTAGTAGCCCCTTAACTGGGCTCAGTCACTTTCGGTTGTATCAATCCAATACTCCTCGAACTTGGACCCTCGTGATCGGCATCGCCTCCGACCATCAAATTTGGTCACCTAATAGGAAAAGTCATCGATAGTGCAAAAAGCAATCTCAAATAATCGCGAACTAGTAACCTGAAATTTGGCCACAGATACCGCTCACAGTATAGGAACCATGAAAATTCAGCCCATTTTGAGTCTGCTCTCACCGCAAACTCCAGCCGCGGGAATAGTGGACACATCAGTCTTTTATAAATAGGAGACTAACTTCCAAAGCATTGAAACCCTGGAAATCCAGCTATCTTGAGCAAACCGCATATCTGCAAACTTTCGTCACAAGTCTCTGTCACTAGGTGAATCTACCTTGGAATATGTCATCAAAAGCTCCCTCTCCGCCCCTGCTCAACGGAACCCTCAGCTTCCCTGTGATTCCTCTGATCAGAGATGCTCTTGAACACTGCAAGCGAGTCACCAGTCCTACCACCGTCAACTCCAGTATCCGCAGTGCATATTTTGCTGTCTTGATTTCTCAAAAGCTACCAAAGGAAAGTGAGCCCCTGGACGTCGAACTCATCGTCTACTCTGCGATCATGCATGACTTAGGCTGGGCAGTTGACAAGTCACTGCTTTCCAAGGATAAGCGCTTCGAAGTTGACAGCGCCAACATGGCCCGCACACATCTTAAGGAGAACCAACTTGCCAACAACTGGGACAAACACCGCATTCGACTTGCCTGGGATGCGATTGCGCTTCACACAACGCCCTCTTTCGCTCAGCACAAAGAGCCCGAAGTCATGCTCTCAAGCATGGGCATCCTGGCCGATTTCCAAGGACCTTTCATCTCAAATGATTTGATCACTGTCGATGAATACAGGGAGGTTGTTAGGGCCTTTCCTCGCTTGGGCTTCAAGGACCAGTTCCTCGATATTATTTGTGTTCTCTCTGCTCTGAAGCCAGGGACAACGTACGACAATTTTGTGAACGACTTTGGTTGTGAATTTGGAACCGGCGGAAAGGGTGCCGGCAAAGAGGAGTTTGCAAAGCATCGAATTGCGAGCACATTTCCTCACACTCTGCTTTCCTCCCTCATTGCTACCGAAAAATATGACGACTGATGGATTGTTCCGTTCCCTTTCGCGTCGCGGATAGAAAGGCGGTCAACTATCAAGGGAAAGATTCCGGCTGCTTGGACAAAGATGGACGTTAGTTTGCCCAGTGGCGAGACCGAGGAAGTGCTATTTAAGCCGCTGGATCATCACGGTGGACAAAGTTGCCTGATCGATTGGCACCAGGTGAAGAAGCCAGTTCCTATTTGCAAGAACTCCAGTACGGCCCCGTCAACCCCTTCCTCGTAACATGCCATTTTTTAGATGACCATCATTCTGCCACGTTTTCCATATTCAATTAGCACGCTGATCAAAAAAGAGCGTGATTTCCCCCCAGCATCTTAGCACACTCTCAAATGGTTCTAGTAATATAATTATGAGAGATGTTGCCCCATTCGGCAAAATTCCTGGCCAATCAAGGATCAAGGCTATTGACCCCTGCATTCTGCGGACACCTGACCCACCATTCGCCGCCTGACGTTTGTCTTCTGAACCGTCTCGCACCATTCATCCTTTGAGTAATCCCTGGCCCGGGGCATTTGCAAGAATCCTCAGTGCTTCCACTTGCGCTCTTTTCTCCTCCTTGAATATGTTGAAATAGAAAATCAGATAGATCCCGTAGCCCAGAATGGCCCAGCCTGGGTAAGCCATGGCAAACTCGAAGAGCATGCGGATCTGATACCCTTGGAGAATGACCGTAGCCACAAGGTTCAAAATGCAGAAGAGAGACTGGACGATCGTGAGTTTAGCAAAGTGTGCGGACAAAAATATCTCGTAGAAGTATGTCGTGAGCAAAAGAGTCAAGACTTGATCAAGACTCACAAGATGTCCGACAATCTCTGCGAGTGCCATTTTGCCGAGAGATCTACGGATCTCAGTGGTGATCTCAAAGGTGTGGTCTAGTACACTGTATGTCAACTGAAGGAACGCTCCTCCAGCGCCAACAGGCTCCCTGCAGGTGGATCTCTGGTGCCGCTTGATAGTACGCACCGTTGTCGGATTTTTTAAATTGCCTCGAGGCTGCACAGAAATCGGCGAGACTTTACACCCAAACAACTTAGGTTCTGAGTTGGAATAAACATTACTCAAGTATTCTATGCTTCCTTCTGCCTAGGTTTGACCCCAGCCTCGCTAATGCCCCAAACTAGCATCTTACAAGGAAAAGTGGCCTTTTCTTGGCGCCAATTCCTTCATCGACAGCCTTGAATTTCGCCTCACTCGAGTCTGACCAAATAGCTAACTGCAGCTATGCCCCGAGTCTTCTGAGTGTATGGTCTAGGTACCAGGATCTCAGTCAGCCTGGGCTTCAACCAGTTCGGGCTCGGGGAGGCTGATGGAAAACCTCCCACCTCAAAGGTTATCACGTCTATTTCTACAGCTTTATCAAGCAATCTTTATCAGTTTGAGCCAAACAAATCACACGTAGCGCTTCTGGAGCGGTCCTGCACGCGACCTTTCGAAATCAATCAAGCTAGGTACCAAGGCATCGGTCAAACGTAATTTTGTTTTGAAATAGGAGATCCTTGTGCCCGTTGCGGCCTAGGTCCCTGATGCGAAGGCTGCATTTGGTCAACCCGATCGAGCCATTTCTTGCTCTTGAACATTTGCAGGATACGGATGCCCAGAAAAGACATTCGCTTCGCCAAAGCCATTCCACCCTCCTTCGCCGTTTGGTTGACGTATCAGCTACATCTACGGCAATAACACCGCAGCTCCTATTCCTTCTCGCGAAGCACCATAGCCTCACCATTGCCATGCCCAATCAGATGTGGTCGATCAAGTTGAACATTTACTTGTCTGTAGATAGGCTCGGATCAGTATTGTCCCACAAACAACATATGGCGGAAGGGCTTACTTTGTAAGTTTATCGTCCACATTCGCAACGAAAAGCGCGCCAATGATTGCGAGCCCTAGTTTCAATGTTAGTGCCTCTCATACAATTTCAGACCACGTATCTTTACTAACCCCCAAAGGCCACAGTGACACAGTAGATTAGTTGGAAAGCATCCACGTATACATTCTTCTGGGCTTCTAGTCCTGCTTCGATAATAGAGGGAGTAGCACCAGGTACATTCAAAACATCTCCAACCGGCAGCCCAGCTATATACCCAGTTAGCAAACCACTGAGATATCAATTTGTTTCAACTCACTGAGAAACTCTGTCAGTGAAGAAGCAGGGAGACCAGCCCCAAGCAGTGCCTTGCCGATTTTAGGGGCCCATGTGCTAGTCACTCGGTTTGCCAACAGGCTGGAATATATGGCAACCCCAACAGCGCCGCCGATACCACGGGTGGAGTTGACCAAACCGGTCGCAAGTCCAATATCTTGGTCGCGAGCACCGAGCTGTACGATGAGAATGCTGATGCAATTAGTGGCACCCACCATAGCTGAGGCAAGCCCGACGAAAATAATTGCTCTTGCGGGAGTGTGCTGATTAGCTGTAGCATTCAATCCCAGAAAGATCGCCATCATGACGACAACGAAAATGAATTGCCACCTCGTCCTGCGAACAGTTGCGAAGGTCTGACCAATAACTATAAGTCCAACTTTGAACGTCAGCTGCATGCCATAAACGATGCGAACTACACTCACCGGTGGCAGAGGCATTAGTAGCTAGGCCGTACCAGCCTATAGTCTGTGGATCCGTAGTAAAGAGACGTTGAACTTGCTGTGGCCATAGAATACCTGTACTTATAAGGGCCATACCTGAAACGAACGAGACTGCTATAGGCACGACAACGGCTCTAACGTCGCGTATGAGTCGAGGGGGGCAGAATTTCGTTATCGTATCGGGACTATACGCTTCCCAGAGAGGGAATGCTACAAAGACGGAGAGACCACCAATGATAGTCGGAGCCAGGACAATTGCGCTGGTCCATGGATAAGGGTTTCCTCCAAACCCGATACCGACAAGGAACGTAGTCAATCCACCGCCGAAAAGAAGGAGTCCCAGAAAGTCCAGCTCGAAAAATTGTTGGCGCCGTGTTTTCCCCTCCGGATGTAGCCCAAGGAAATCCGGAGGCCAGTAGCACACAAGGATTAAGATGAATGCCAGAGTATTGACAATGAGAGACACATAGTATGTCCAACGCCAGGAGGCTACCGTGATAATCCGATATGCTGCAATGAAATAAGAAGACATATAAGTACAAGTCAGCATCACCTACCTATTGGAGCGCCAAAGGCCGACCCTGGGAGCGAGACAATGCTCAGAGCAGCTATTGTCTGTCCTCGATTTCTTTTAGGAACAATTTCACTCGCCGCTGCAAAGGCCAGTTGCTGCAAACCACCAGAGAGACCCTAAGACGAGGTCAGTGATATTCGAAACGTGGAGCGAGCCGGTACTAACCAGAAACGAAGCCCCGAGAATGAGCATGGACACGTTCCTAGCTCTATCCGCCATATTTTCAGTACAATATTATTGTTAAGAGTGTACTGGCCAACCTGCAAGCAATTGCACAACCGATAATCCCCAGGAGGTTCCCTGTGATGAAGAAGTTGCGACGTCCGAATATGTCGCTACATCTCCCAGCGACAGTCATAACCACGGCACTTGCAAGTGCCCAAGAAGTAGCAACCCATGCGATGTTGTTCGAAGGACCGATGTCTTCGTTTATTGCCAATAGAATCACCCCGGGTAAGACGAAGGAGAGGAGGCAAGATTCATAGGTGACCGCAAGAGCCTTCTAGTGTCAGTAACTGTCATGGTTCTTTATTCGTAGTTAGGAACAGACCAGCAGTCCAAGGATAGTCCGAAGATCAAGTTTGCGTGCCTCGTAGGCTTGAGGATCACTGTCGAAGTCATCTCTCGCAGAGGAGCGATTGCCAACTTTCTCTTCATGCGCCGTATAGATTTCCGGCGTGCCGGATTTGGCTGCGATGCTCTCTACTGAAATCGCCATGTTTGACGGATCAATCGAATTGCTGAATAGAAGAACGACTTCGGATCTCGAAGAAGGCATCTTATAAGCATTTATCCCCACCATGGTCCACGAGGTAGTCCCTGCTTTACCGATGCTTTGGTCGACTCCAGAAAGCACTACCCCATGGGGGAAACGATGAGCGACAAACGAATAGGATCAAGAGCGTGCACTCCTCAAGTGCAGGGACCAGCCGATGTGCTCAACAGAGTTTACGGATAAGTTCACCAATGGTGTTCGATCCTGATAAGCGCACGAGGGGCAGTGGATTGGGACGGGATCGTCAAAACCTTCGGACTTGCCTTTTCCGGTCGACCATCCGAGATTCATATGCAAGCTTTCCATCGAAAGCCCTCGGTCTGGCAATCTCCACATCCCGAGACGCGACCTTCGGAGCTTCATGCCGAAATTCCATCATACAGAAGAAGGATGCGACATACCTGCGGTTGGAATAGTAGTATGTAATTCCGCATGACAAAGTCGTGACGAGTATAGGTGTGGGGAGATGCAAGCGAAAATCCGATGACATACAAAAACAGAGGATGAAGCTCAACTTGTCCTCGTGGCGGCGTATTCACAAGCGCCTGAGAGAATCAATAGGCAATTCATTAAATTCCAGTGGTCATGGCTGGATCGACCTGTGACCAGTCCATGGTTGCTAGGAGTATCTCAGAGTAGCCCTCGAGATTTAGGACTGGCCGGGCTGGTGCATTGGAGATTTCGTTGCTGTCGTGGAAACTCTGAGGCGTCGCGGGATGGATCTGTTCAGTCAAGCTCAGGTTATTACCTTGCATATTAAGCTGCGACAGGGACGGTGTCTCCGCAGGACTTCTGGGCTTTTGCTCTCCAGTAGAGTAGCTTGTTGTAATAATTTCGTCCCAAAGATTCATGGGATGGAATCGAGTCTCCCATTCGAAAGAGTGAGAGAGGTCTTTGCTGCTTTTGACACGCTCGATAAAGCAGATCGCGGAGTCCACAGAATTATACTTCATCCTCAATAGCCCGAATACCCGAAGAGTTTGGCTGAGATAGAGTGACCCTGTGCCCTGCAGCTCTGAGTCCGAAGATAGGGCATCTTTAAGATGCTGAATAGATGCAGCGATGAAAGCACCAATGGCTAACGGTGGAAGATATTGTACAACGTTGCTGCCCTCCAGAAGTCTTGCGATTTCTGTAATTCGCCTTGCAGAAGATCTCAAGGTGAGACACGAAAAATCCTGCAATGCTCTAGTGGCAGAATCTGGTGACTGGTCATATAAGCCGTTTGGACGGTGGACTGCGGTCAGTGCGGTCAAATAAAGCATCTCCAGTGCCGCTGAGTGAACACCTAGTACCCTTCCATTCCTGCGATGGTCCTGACCGAAGGCGGTATCCATCGAAGAGGTCTCCCCGTACCAATCACGGAGTTCTTGGTCGTGAGCAACCATGTAGACGCTGGGAGTTCTCGTCTTTGGCATCAGCACCATTAATGTATCGCTCGAATCAACACACTTCAAGCCTCTTCGTTCATACTGCAATTCGAAAATATGTCTGAGGATGACACACAACTTGATCTTCTGTATGTAAAAGTGGCACATGGCTTTTGCTTCCACGTCACGGCCGGGTAGGTAGTACATCTCCAACCCCCGAGTCAAAGCCAGACAGTCCAAGTCTTCTAAGCGAAGGACTTGCACCTCTCTGGCGAAATAGTGAAGAGGGATTTGCCGACGCTCCGTCAGGGATAAGATATGGCTTCTGGTCATGCAGCAGGCCCATAGTCTGCCACAGAATCGGCCTTGGTCCGATTGGTGAGGGAAACGATCAGCGCTGTCCAAACCCATACCAGTAGCGAATGACAGAGCGATCCCAAGCCAGTAGAGTCGTCCCTTTGGGTCATTGAGTTGTCCTTGCCAGTGCGTCATCAGAAGGAGAACTTGTATCATCGTTATTGAGTTCGATTCCACGTCCATGTCGTAGAGCAGCTTGACACGCTCGAAGAATATCCTTTGGGCATCCTTATGACTCTGAAACCCTGCACGCTTCAACTGTGAAAACTCGGCAAATGTGGCACCTACCATCATTACCGCCTGGAACAATAGTAGGCTTATAGTTTGGCCGTTTGTGCCGCCTAATGCGTCAAGGAAGGTGCCCAAGTCCAGCACTGGTAAGAAGGGGTACACGTAGCAAATAAAGCCTCGGACCAGCTCATCGGATACTTCTTTTGGGGGAACTTTCAGCGCCCCTTTTTGGTACAGCAGTCGCAAAATATCCTGGTCGATGGTCCTAGGGAGGGGCTTAATATAATTTGGCAATTCGACACTGAGTGGTGGTAGAAGTGGATCAATAAGACCTTGTGGCGATTTGTCCGTGGCATTGCGGTGAAGAGCATCTGACGAAGCTTGGCTTGAGAATGTTGCAGCGACTTTGAATGTATTTTCGCTCGATGGAACATATGACTTCGACTCGCCGACCCTGAATGTATGGATATTGGCAGAAGGAACATGGTTCCGAGCCGGCTTCTCCAGCGGTGTTTTCCCCCACGCGGCATTCAGAGAGCAGACTGCAGAAACTCGAGAGCAATTTGAGCAAGGCAAGCCTATCTCAGATGAATTGCATCGTACTTTGCGGCTGCGACAGATATCGCACGCTCTTGGTTCACGCTTTCTCGGCATGATCAATGCGATTCCAAGTGTGAGGTCGACTCTAGACGCTTGTCATGTCATAGCCCAAATCTGAGTTCCCGTGCAGAAAACTCGGGCCCGAGGTCGTCGACAGTCAGTCATACCAAACTCTTGCCAGAAGTCCAGGACTGAGGCACCCGGGGGTTTGAGCAGTTTGATTACGTCATGTAAAGGTGTCGGTTCAACAGCACACCAAGTTATACTAATTACAGTGATTGAGTGCCGAAACATGAAAATATCAGCAGTTTCGTTCTGGCTGGCGATTTGGGGGTGGGTGAACGGCCATTGCAGCCTAGACTTCCGTGACGATTTCACAAGGTCAGGTGATCAAGGAAAGGAAAAGAAAAAGAGAATAGGGGCCCCGATTTACAACAGGACTTGTTTCAAGCCATCATGTTGTCCTCTTTGTAGATTTGATAACTGAGAGATCATGCGTAGCGATGATCAAAACAAGAACTTGAAAGGCGTGACAAATAGCAGGTGTGCGTGGCGTTGCCATAACACCATCCAACGCGCCTTCCTACAGATCTGGGCGGTTCATATTCAGAGTCTTTACAGCTTCTAGCAAAAGGGGCTTTCGTCAAGCTGATGCAGCGTCATTAAGGAGTGGATACGACTAAAAGAGGCCTGTTGCAAGGGTGGCCAGGGCGACAACATTGTATTGGTGAGTTCCTTGCTTGATCTGGATGGTGGGGGCTTTTGACTTGGCTTCACAACTGAGGAGATAATGATTCCAGCATCGCCTCTTGCTGCGATAAGCTCCTGAAGAGGATCCATATCATAGGTTCAGCACTGGTACTCACAACGCCTTCACGGGGTGTCATCAGAGGTGTCGGGTTGATTAGTCAGACCAACATGCGAAATCCATACGGATTAGGAAGACTTACTTTTTACGGTCTTCAGGATGGCGAGGAGAGGATTAGTCCGCTCCGTTCATTCTACATCGCCTTGGTGGCCACCAGCCTTTGTATGCCTTGAGTGCCATCCTGTTGATAGATTGGCGTTCGTAAATATTCCCTCTTCAAGTCCACGGTCTTCGCTGTGTTACTCTGTGGCGCTCATCTATGCTACTGGTCACTACAAACTCTAGAGCAGTCTCTACAAAGCCAGAGCTCGACAACATGGAACTTTCACGGCCACCAGAATCTGAGCTCCGTCAGGGCCCTGCCATCCAAGTGTCAGATACGAGAACAGAGGGCCGGAAGCTGCTGTTCGTGCCACATGCGACTCGAGGTGCCTCGTCGACAGCGCGACCGGACGGCACGTCCATTAGGCAGCATCTGATGGTCGACTTCCACCGGCGGAAGCAGCTCAATCAATTGGATATTTTGGCCGAGTGAGAGGTCGTCCCGCAACCATCAAAGCCTCCACGCACCCAACTCGGCTGGTTCAGGATCGAGAGAAAGGAAAGCACTGGGAAATCGCGGTGATTTCAGGTTCATTGTGCCAAGTAGCGTTCCTTGAGTTCCTTGAGCCCAGAGACCCCCTGAATCTAGAGCAGACTCAAAGGCAACTGACCAGTGGTGTTTTAGAGTTGACCTCAAGAGAAGACTCTATGACACTGCTCGCAATGGACGGGAATACAAGAGCTGTTTTGTCATTTCGAAGACCGCCAGTCTAGGATCTGGTCAGCTCCTTTCAAAGGGATCCGTTCATTCGCTTTCCTGTTCCTGCAAATAACGAGGTCCATGCCCTTTTTGGATATTGTATGTCACCCTCCCCCTGTCACCCTCCTGGGTCTTTCCATCGGCTAGATAAGTAGTTGTTACAATGCATTCTTCTGTCGGTATAGAAATGTTGCTTGCTAATCACACTGGTCACGCATCCCAGATATGACGGAACTCAATAGCCAAGGCGCGATAAACAAGTATGAGCGAGAGTTCCTCACAATTGCACTGGACAACTCGGCCTGTTTTCTGATGTTGATGACCACTTTGGTCCAATCACGACATTTCCAAGGGGAGCCCTGCGAAAAGGAGTTTTGGTCTTACTGTGGAGCAGCGATGTCTGCACTGCAAACTCAGGTGGCCACCGCAAGTAATCTGACCGATTCGGTGATTTGCACCATCAGCATGCTTGCGTATATTGATGTAAGTCCTGTTTGTACTCAAGTAAACTTTCTGCATACCAAGATTTGGATGGCTAGCGCGCTGCTGAGTGTCCTCCGCTCTCACCAGTTGCGATGTCCAACTCTTCACAGCGAGACCGCCAAAGTACACCTTGCCGCGATAGTCAGAGCGTTGGATTTGAGGAAGGGGTCCCGAAAGCCAGAGCTGTATTGTGTGCTCTTGCGGCTCTCGAACTAGTAAGTAGGATACATTAGGTATTCCGCTGCTGGAAGACCAAACTGTAAATCTTTCGATTTAGGTGCGTCGTTCCTCCGGAGTTCTGTGAAGCTGCATCCATTCCTGTTCAACAGGGCAATAATTCCAACTCTGGAGACGTCTTACCCATTCGAACAATCGAGTCTGTCGAAATCCCGCCCTCAATTTTCGACGACGTAAAGTTTCTACTACAATCCAAAGTCCAAGACCCAGTGCGACACCCCAACGACGACGACATAATGAAATGCGCCAGTGGCGAAGGTTTTCAAGATTTTCTTTCCACTCGACTTATGCTCGCCTCAGATATGCTGGGGAACCAGTGGGCTTGATGAGCACGCCAGAGTCCGTGAAGATGATGCGGTCGGTGTATTTGAGTAAGATCATGTTCTTGTACATTGTGTCTCCAGCGATCACTCTCTCTGGGGTATCTCCTTCGGCGATTGCGTTGTCTCTCAAGGCCAACTTAGAGGTAGATCCGGCTGCGTCCGGAAATCCGGCAATATGGAACCCGGAGTTGCTATGCTGGGTTTTGATGATCGGGGCGGTCACTACTCAAGACGAAGCTCACCGAAGCTGGTTCGTCAACCGGGTTGCAGAATATAGCACTTTGCATGGTATCAATAATTTCGCAGACCTGGCGGAAGTGTTGCAGAGGATTGTTTGGGCGGAGGGAAAACTCGCCCACTCGTGTCGACGGGTCTGGGACGAGGTGAAGATGATCAATGAACAGTGGAACTTGAATATCGATTGAAGAAGCTCTTCCTCAGGGTTAATTCATGATCAAGGCCAGCCAACTGCAAGATTTAGGCCAGATCAACGCTAGTCAAATGACCAGCCTTGAAATGTTTCCTTTCCTTTTTCACTTCTCCCTAATTCCATTCGCGATCCAGGGCAGCACTGATCCTCCCAACTGCTCTTTCCCCGATGACACCCTCAAAACTCTTCATCCTCTCATCCGTCGACATGCGGACAAGTCTGCTCAAGCCCCAAGGCTCGTTGGCATGGTCTTCCTGCGTGGACGAGTCTTTATGCAGCATCCCAAGTACGACCTGTGATGACATCGGGTTCATGCCTGCCTTCCGAAGGAAGTGCTCCCAACTTGTTTCATCGTGAATCAAGGTTACCGGGCTTGACTGTTTACTTGCCGGGAATGCATGTTGACATATGAGTGACCATGTCCACGCATTTATTGCTGCGTCTGTCTTGGCCGGGACTTTCTCTGGAACAACCCACACAGGAGTCACAATGGCCGACATGAAGCTGGCGCAGTATCCTGTGAATGTAGAGATAACGTCCATGTGGCTTTGAGGAAAGGCATCGCCTAGTATTCTGGAAACAGTGGCGACGACAAATACATGATCATAATCCTGTGCCAGTACTTGCACCTTCCTCCGCACCTTGTTATCCGAGGACGTCGCGTTCTGCCCCGGTAAGCTCCTCTGATTGATGGCCTGGAGGTTCGTGAAAATGAGACAGGAAACTGGATTGAGGATTATCTCTGGATGATCTGGTTTTGCATTTGAATATCCATGGTCAGAACTCATTTCTCGATAGATAATGTCCAAACTGCAGCCACCCCGGTGTTCTAGGAACGCAAGTAAAGATCGATGTGTTTTCAAGATACAGGTATCGACCATTATGGACCTTCTCCATGATAAGGACTTTGATTTCGGTATTTTGATTTCCTGTTGTTTGTGGGTGCTAGCCGGCATTGGGGTTGCTGGGACTTGTATCGTCGACGCAGTATTGATCAGCGACTCACTGCATTGCTGCGGGGCCCGAGAGACCTTAGCGAGGCTATTTTCTTGCGTTTGTGTCTGAATTGGATCATCTTCAATTTCGTCTGCTGATAGTCGCGTGGGTGTCAACGGCATCCTTTTGAACTTGCTGCCTCGCAAATCCAAGAAGGTATCTAGAGCATTAGATGCGGAGAAAGCACCACTAAGAGGCTGCTTCAGTCGTTCAGTGGTGACGTCTCTATCAGCAACATTGTCGCTGGTACATTGCAACACTCTCTTCACAGGTAAGTTAGCCAGAAGGTGGTCGATTGAAGGTCGTTTCCGAGGAATGCTAGGCGTATCCTGCTCCGGTATCAGGTTGGCTAGCTCCTCCCTTACCTCCAATTCCTCTTCATCGTATTCGTTAGAATCTAATATTCTCAAACCAGGCTCCTTGAATAGGAGTTGAGCACTCTGAACAACATCTGTTGGTGGACTGATGAGCTTCAAAAATCGTTCACTATCATCACTGATGGTCTCCTCCAGATTGATCATCGTTGAATGCTTGAACGGTACCCAATTCATCTTCCTGTCCTCCTCTAGGCGTTGCATGCTCCATGAGAGATTCAGGTTGAGTTCATCGAAAATATCAGAAATTATGTCGTCCCTTGATTGGTCGCAAAGACCATGCGTGAACTGCACAGGTGAGAGCTTCGGCACGTCAATTTTCAGGGATCTAGAAATCGGCACCTTTTTCTCTTCCGGCGTCTCCTCCGCTCTGTATAGGGCTGCGTCAACGAAATTTATGAAATCTGCATCTATTTCCTCCGCGAAAAGATCAGTCTCGGAAGTCTGTTCACGCTCGTGAGGTGGTCTGTTGGGACGAATCTTCGGATGAAGTCGTGGCGGGGCGAGGACTTCGACGACATCTTCAGCTTGCGGTTCTATCACGTTTCCGATGCTTGAGAGGCCGGAATCATCACGATTAGTAGATGGGAGAGTCACTCGAGTATTTCCATGTTGTACTTCGAACACGGAGCCGTTAGAAGAAACAAACGCTTCCAAAGCTCCCTCCCCATCTTCTGAGGCAAGAGATAGAACGAGAGCCCTAAGCTCGAGACTCTCAAGTCCACGTTTATGGGAGGCAGGGTCTTTATTAGATGGGTTGAAAGTTTGTGGGGATCGAGTGTCTTCACGACTGGCCTCGAGCATATCCTCTAGGACCTGATCTTCAGCCAGGGTTTCTCCAACCTCGAATGGGTCGATGGAGCTTAATTGTGGAAGATCTTCAAGGTCTCCTCCATCCTTGTCAAAAGGCGCATCCAGGGTTATTTTCAGTTCTTCTCGATTGCTGTTGATAGGATCCGATAACATGCCATAACTGCCTTGTATATTATGCTCGACATGTTCAAGCAAGTCATTCAGGACATTAATGTCTTCCGAGAACATCTCAGGTTCGAGCTCTGAGGATCGTCGGACAAATCGTCCGATGCTGGCGTCTTCTGCCATCGAACAGGGTACTGGCGGCTGCATGTGGTGTTTCTTCAAGTGTGTTAGCGCGGTAAAATACCTGTCGAATCACGGTTATGGAGATGCTCATACCTTAGTGAGTGGCAGTTCCCTCTCATAGAGACCCCTCACATCTTCTTGTGTCAGCTCATCTCGCAGGACATGAGACAGATTCGTCAAGGCCTCTGTCGTCGTATTTATCTTCTCCATCACCATCTCATTCCACACCGTTCTAAGCGACTTTCCCGCCTGCATGTCATCCCACTCTGCATCGAAATTCGACGCGGCTGTGGCATCCCAAAGCTTATACTCGAACAAGGCGGATTCCTAATCCAATCCACGTCTTAACTCGCGCTTGAATGCCGCCACGTCCTGGTTGTGGTCCGTCGCGAGTAGGGGTTCTTCAAGCCTCATCTTCGTCTTCCAGTGCGGATCTGGGAGGTACCTGTTCCACGGAATGGAAAATGATGGCGCTCGGACACATGAAGCCAGGAATGCACCTCCGGTGCGGCTGAAGTGTAGCTTCGGCTCTTCAAGAGGAAGATCGGAGGCAGAAAAGCCAGGGTACAGCGGCGAGGCTGGTTGTTGGGCTGATTCGTTCTGGTTGTTGAGATAGGCACTCAGTAGCCCTTGAATTAAGTCCACGGAACGGTGCTCTCTTGCGAGGCCATGGTATCGCGCGTATTGTAGAACACAAGAGTCTGGCATTGTTTCAGTATATGTCAAGCCTAGAACTACGTCCGTATTTCTGCTTAGTGGGAATCGAATATGTTGCTTGATTGTTCGTGGCGTGAGATGTGGAGGGCATATTTGAGCCGGTGAGACAAACGCGTGTACATCACACCTCAACACGTGAAGGGAGAAATGGAGAAAGTCGAAGTAGTTACGAACAGTAAAGCTCGCCACCTCAAGTTGTTATACTAATCAAAACACACCTTCCTATGCAATGCTGCTGTCATCCACGATGATTCGAATTTGGATCTTCCAGGATCCCAAACATTCTCAGACGCCAAGTTAGACTTCCATACCATTGAACCATTTGATCATTATAGTTCGATCGCCGAGAGCCACCTTAGTTGACCTTCCGCAGTCTCCATTTCTCAATAAACCGCTCTTCTGGAAATGTTCCACTTGGAACAAGTTATGGCCCCTCGGCTGCGGTCGTTACCCGGACAGCATATCGTCGGTTAGGCATAAATCCATAACTGGTACTGTGGTTGGTAGACCTGTTGTCCCAGAACGCAACTTCGTCTTTTCCCCACTGGAAGCGTACATGAGCTTCTTGTGTTGTGCTGATGAGTCCATTGAGACATCGGATGATCATATCGCTTTTGGCCTTAGGCACGCCCTGATCATTGTCACAAGCCAGGTTTGAAGAAGAGCGATTTCCGTCCAGTGACAGGGTTTACTCTGAGCAAAGGAGGCTCGGTGGTTACGGGCTCTCTCCAGACTGGTATACCTGATGCACGGCATCCTTCTGCCTGTTCTTTTGCGGAGTCCGGGGCAGTCACTGGTCAGGATCTTTAGATACTTCTGCATTTGCACTGACAAAACGCCGTACGGGGCATACTGAGAGCACCATAGAGTGTCGCCCCCACCGCCTCGAGGTGGACCAGTAAGGCCTTTTAGCGATGGAGACGAAGGTGGCTGTGCCTCGTAAGTCACCTGTTAGACTGCGTTTCTTAAGGCGTATTAGGAAATATACTTGCGTCCGAATGCCATAAAAAGTTCGGACTGAACAATGCCCGCCGATCCACCGATTTGTCTGTAGTGTAGATGGCATGGAAATATTCAAGACCTTCCCTTTCAGGTACTGATATTGTTGCAACCTTGTGCAAAACGCCAAAAATTTCCTCCGAGCTCTCGTTGACCGGCAACATCATGTTGATTGAAGAAGAAGACCACTGCACGGGTAGCAATCTAGCTAGGCCGTTCTTTTGTTTGGGCGTCGGTTAGCTTCTTTAGACTGACTCCAAAGATGTCAGTTCCAATATTGCGAACATCGTTAACCACACCCGTTGGAGCATCTAGAAAGATACGAAATTGGACATCTCCCAATAGACCCGTGTCCTCATATGCAACTTCTCTCAGAGGCTCGCACTTGAGGTCTGCAAATCCAGATAGGAGATAGTCCAACTCATACGTCTCATCATGCTCAAATCGTGACCTTGCAGGCGTATAAGCATGGACGAGGGAGAGCTTCTTTCCATTTGCCTTGAATTTGCCTCGCTCTAGCAGCTTTCCTGATGCAAGCAATCTCATTGGCTGAATAGCAGCACGTACTGGCTATATAGAGAAAGCATGCAAGATGAGAGCCTGGTGTCGTCGACGTGTGAGATTCAGGACGAAACGTTAAGCACCCAATAAGAAGCCTGTAGACTGATTGCGTCAGCGGACCGGATTATTCTTTCCCCGAACATAAGAACTTTGGGCAATGCGCTGAAGGATGAATTCGTGAATGAGTTCGTATGCGAGTTGCTCCTCCTTCAGCGCTTTTCTTCATGAAGACGTCTGCAGACTCAACCGTTAGGCGGTCTGGGTCACCTGACGAGAGTAGAAGAGCGGAGGAGACAGGAGTATCAATAGTACGACGAGCGATTCATAGTGATAGTAGCAGCAGAAGGAATTTAGCCGTTTGAGGTCTCAAGGTCCAGCTCCTTGGAGAGGTGCATACTGCACTCATCCCGTTAGCTAAACAATCTGTAGAGCAATCAGTGGGTGGATCAAGAAAGAGATAGTGGATTTAGCTTGAAAATATGGATCCTTTGCAGGAAGAAGGTATCTATCATCTCATCTCATCTGATCGTAACGGAAATATCGCTGGCCTCCCGTGGTCCGTGAGTACAAATCCATCCATCCCTCCCTCCCACACCATGCCGCCTGGCTCTATCGCACCGGGCTCTCCAATACCCAAACGCCTGGAGTTTCCACTGAAACCGAAAATACTCCAATACAAAAGTCAAGTAAGCCCATTCAGCCTCCATTTGCGAATTCTAGACTTCAACAAAGAAACTTGAGAAACATCTATTCCATCTCGATGGTACCCGGAGGCTTACTTGTAACATCATAGACGACGCGACAGACACCATCGACCTCATTCACAATCCTCCTGCTGACTCGTTTTAGAAACTCGCCGTCGAATGGAAACCAATCAGCCGTCATGAAATCAGTGGTCTCCACGGCGCGGAGAACGACCATCTGAGCATGCACTCGTTTGTCTCCCATGACACCGACCACACGCACGTTCTCAGGCAGGACGGCTGCAAAAGCCTGGGAGATCTTGCGGTACAAGCCAGCGGACACAATTTCGTCGATGAAGATCTTGTCGGCTTGGCGAGCGATGCTGAGCTGTGTCTCATTGACCTCGCCGATAATTCGGATAGCTAAGCCTGGACCGGGAAATGGATGTCTCCATACCAGCTCTTCTGGGATGCCAAGATTTGTCCCAAGTGCTCGGACTTCATCTTTGAAGAGCTCTCTCAGCGGCTCAATCAGCTTGAGGTGCATGCCCTCGAGAAGTCCACCGACGTTGTGGTGGGTTTTGATGGTGGCTGAAGGGCCTTTGAATGATATGCTTTCAATAACATCTGGGTACAATGTGCCTTGAAGCAAGAATTCGATGTCTCCAGCCCGTGGGGAGTCGGCCGCTTCTTTAGCGATCTTTTTGGCTGTGTCTTGAAAGATCTCGATGAACGTATTTCCGATGATCTTGCGCTTGGTTTCAGGATCCGAGACGCCCTGGAGTTTACCCAGGAAGAGGTCGGTTGCATCGATGACAGTCAGATTGATGCCGAGATGCTCAGTCAGGGTTTTCTTGACAGTGGTAGCTTCATCCAGTCGAAGAACTCCATTGTCCACAAGCACAGCATGAAATCGGTCTCCAATTGCCTCATGCATGAGCTTTGCGGCCACTGTCGAGTCCACCCCACCACTTACAGCGCCAATAACCTGGCCTTTCGGTCCGACGATGGCACGAATGCGCTCAATCTCTTGGTCAACGAATTTCTCCATGGTCCAGTCCTGTCGAGCGTTACAGATCTTGACGGCAAAATTGCCCAACACATGTGTGCCTCTCGGGGTATGAGTCACCTCGGGGTGGAATTGAATACCGAAGTAGGGTTTGGTGATGCTGGCGACGCCTGCCCAGGGGGCATTGGCAGTGCTTGCAATAGGACGGAACCCGTCAGGCAAGTTGGACAATTTATCTCCGTGGCTCATCCAGACCTCAATGTCATCCTCAATGCCCTCAAAAAGGCGATCGATATGCTCTTCCTTTCCCTGGTGTCTCTCAATCTTCAAATAAGCATGGCCGTATTCTTTCTTGTCGCCGGCAGAAACACCCTTGCCGAACTGCCATGCCATTTCCTGCAGCCCGTAACATATCCCGAGAATGGGAACACCCAGATCGAATGCGGCAGGGTCGACATGTGGTGCACCGTCTTCGTAAACCGAATAGGGGCTGCCAGAGAGGATGATTCCCTTGGGTTTAAAGTGTAGATCGGCTATCTTTTGAGTGCATGGCAGCATTTCCGAGTAAACATTGAGTTCGCGCAATCGTCGCGTAATAAGGTGGGAATATTGCGAGCCAAAGTCTAGTACGAGGATTGTGTCGAAGGTGGCTGCGGGCGCGTTGACGGCCATGCCGTTGACTTCACCGTTGACAGCCATGTTCCCCGATAATTGGTGACCTCAGCAGGGGCGCAGGTCTTGACACTGAGGTAGCTGGGTCGGAAGAGTCTCGCAACGAAATTGGAAAGTAATGTGTCACAAATTCAATTGAACTGCGGCCGAACCAAAAAAAAGTGCAGATGCAGGAACGAATCGGGGAAAGAGCGAGGGGCACAGACACGAACACAGGCACAGCAAAAGAAGTGGCGGACCCACGTGCGATTTCTTCCCCGCATCAGTGCGATAGAAAAGTTCGGTGTCTGACTGAGGGAGGACTCGATCGATTGCAGACTCAGATCCATTCAACGGGCATATTGCTACCTACATCACAGAGCCAGGCCGATACCAAATCCGAACCTCTTACTTGAAAGCTGGTTCATTTGGCCCTTCACTCGCCCAAAATGCCTGCCAGTAAGAGAAAACAAGATCTCGGCACGGATGTCGCAAGCAAAGCAGATGATGACAGCGGCGACGACGAGGTGATTTCTACCTCTTTCTTTCTTTCCCCGTGCTCCGTACTCCGCGCTTCCGGCTGACTTGGTTCAGGACTTCGATGTGCTTGATGTCGACTTCGAGTGGTTCGATCCGCAGCCTGAATTCGACTTCCACGGAATCAAGACGCTGCTACAACAATTGTTCGACACAGACGGCCAGCTGTTTGAGCTGTCAGCCTTGACCGACTTGATCTTGTCCCAGCCGACTCTCGGGTCAACAGTCAAGGTTGATGGCAACGAGACCGATGCGTATGCTTTTTTGTCCGTCTTGAATTTACAGGAACACAAGGTATGGCTAAAAACACAATGGCATAATTCTCACCTTTGCTGATGCCTTTGGGTTAGGACAAGCATTTCATGGGCAAGATCATCCAATACATCCACTCCAAGGCATCGTCCCAACCCCAACTCGCTCATCTGGTGCAATTGCTGTCTCAGTCTACCATGCCCCCGATCGGATTGATCTTGACCGAGCGCCTCATCAATGTTCCCTCAGAGGTTGTCCCTCCCATGTATACCATGCTGCTTGAAGAGATCGAGTGGGCCATCCAAGATAAAGAACCATACAACTTTTCGCACTACCTGATCCTTTCCAAAACATACACAGAGGTGCCCTCCAAACTCGATGCCGAGGATGATCGTCCCAAAAAGAAAACCAAGGCTGCTGGAGGTGCTTTTGAGACCATGTATTTCCACCCAGAGGATGAAGTCTTGCAGAGACATGCCATCTGTTCCGGCGGATTTGACTATTCAATCAAGCAGGACGATGGTCACTCTGACTCCAAGCGAGCTTTCCACGAGCTTGGCATTAAACCACAAGGGCATGCCATCCTGATCTCCAACGACAAGTTCAAAGACGCGGTTCGGAATGTGGCCGAATATTTCATGCCTCAAGCATAAACATGATCACCTGTCACCTGTCACTCGTTACTCCCATTGAGTACCCTTCAATCTCTGCATGAGGTACTCGACCTCAACCACTTTGGTCAAAGGAATGACCACCTGAGCATACATCTTGACCACGGCTTCAATGTTGATCTTCTCCTCACCACCAGTTCCGTTGTTTTGGACTGAAGGGTCTTTGCCATAAGTCTTGGCCTTCAGCCTCAATCGCTCAAGGACCTGCTGCTCCACCTTTGCATTGGTGATTGCAGCATCGATTCCCGCACGATCCCCAGCCTTGATGAGTCTGACGAACCGCTCGGTCTCTGTCTGGAACTTGCTCTCGGCCACAAATTTCCCAAAATGGATCCTTCGACTCAGAGCCTGCAGACAGGCCACATCACAGGTGGCCGCGCTGCCATAATTCTCTTTGGTCTCTCCGCGGTCCGCCCGGTCAAATTTGCGGCAGGCCTCAGGCAGGACTTCTTTGATGTATTTCTCCTTGATTATGGCATTCACATTCACGTCATTATCGTGGAGTATTTTAGGATACTCTATGGGTTGAAGCCTGGGTCGCAGCAAGACTTGAGGGAAAAAGGGATATTCGTCAGGAGCATCATATCGTCGGACCAAGGAGTGCAAGCGTTCGGTCTCGGCGAGTAGATAGTCGGCTAGAGATAGATTTTCAGGCAGACTAGGATTGTTCTGTGGAATGGGGAACGCTTTCGCATCGTAGATGGTGCCATTTAGAGGAAACTGTACACGTTCTATGAGGTGAAAGGTAATGGTGTCTTCTAGTCGACTGTGATGTGATGAGCGCATCAGACCTTGGAAGAGAGTAGAGAGCAACTTACATTAATTGAAAACGAATATTGGCCAGGTCCAAAGCCTTAGAGGCGTCGGACAGATCAATTGCTGTATCCATTTTGAAAATTTGCATTGACACACGGAGGAGGAAATGGCGGGGCTGCTGGAGCAGGTTGATGGTAGCAGACAGAATGGCTACCTGGACACGGAGTACTATGCTTAGTAGTTCAAATGAAATGAAGGAGTTCCATATTATTATATGAGTCAGTCAGCCTTATCCAAAGTCTAGTAGGAATTTTGTCCGCGTGTCGGCAAATCATGAGCGGATTTGCCAAAGCGCTGTCAAATAATATTTATTGCGATGATATCCGAGGTGGACGAGCTCGATTGAAGCCGAAGATCGGATCAGTGCAGGAGGGGAACCAGAAACCAAGGACTGTTCGGAGTAGATAGAGGAAGAGTACGTCACAGCCTCAGATATACCTACCCTAGTTAGGTAGCTCGGTACCTAGAGACATAGTACGGAGTACATACGAGTATGAACCGCTGGCCAACGGGTGAACAGGAGGGCCTTGGGATTCTTGGTCCCCAGTTAAAGCCCGCGTACAGGCTCGATCATCGCCGGTGTCCAGTGCCTGGAAGCTCCAGCCTGCAGGTCGAGCATACCCGTCTGGCAGCGCCCCTTCGCCCCTCGGCCTAAGCTTCAGGGCTCAGGCTTAGGTAATGCTAGGTACTTAACTCTGGCACCATCTAGGAGTGGGAGGAACTCGCCTCTCCACACTTCTGATCTCGCATTCGCATGCAGACTGTAACGGCAAAAGCTCCGGGCTCGCTAACCAGGACAAGACAATCAACAGCACCAGAGTCTACAACCAAATTCAAACATTCGACCACGAGACGAATTACACCATTGCCTCAAGTCTTACTCCGCCAATCAATCTCTCTTGATCTGGGTCATTCTGTGCCCACACCTCTCTTCAGCCCGCCTGTATGGCCGGCTCGCGATCTCACAGTCGCAATGTCTCGCAAACACGCTCAGTTGCTGGCGATGGTGAGGACAGTGTACTTGGAGCAGTCCTTGATGTGACTACACCTACCTTGCCATGGATTCAATCGAAGCTGACCCGCTCTCAGACACGTCAACTTGAAGCCTTTGGCCGCAAGGTAACGGCGACTGCTACCCATCTGATGGGCGATTCATCGACCCCGGCCTACCCTTCTGCCATGGGCTCTCTCCAGAGGCAGATGCGACGACCTGCTATACAAAGAGCCGTCTTTTCCTTCTCGCAGCAAGCTCCTACTGAGCTTGTCCGTGCCAAACTCTCCACGAGTGAGATTGCACATCGCGCCTTGACCTTTATCTCTGATGACCAATTGTACAACATCCCCGAAGACGATAACACCTATTCTTTGTTCCAAGGCTTCCAAGCCTCTCTTCCTGAGGGCGAAAGTGAGCATCGAAAAGGACACCGACGGCGGAGCTCGAAACAGCACAGACTTTTAAGCGCTGGCGATGTCGAAGAAGATGGACCCCCGACTATTCAGAACCTCAAAAAGAAGAGAAACAATGTCAATCATAAATTGGAAATGATGGCTATCAGGAAAAATATGGCCTCCACCGAAATTCGTGACATCGACAACAAAATTGCCAATCTACACAGTGTCAGAAAAATCGTCTTGGATCGCTTAGCCGCCCTTGAGAACGATGAAGCCGAAGTTGAGCATGAACTGTTAGAGCTGGATAACAAGATCGATGAAATGCAGGAAGAGCTTGAGGAACAAGGAGCTTTAGAGCAATCAACGAGTACTCTCAATCCTCCTCGTGTGGCCACTCCGGAATCCGAAGCCATGGATGCTTCTTTCATGTCACAGTCAATCTATGAGAAGTTGCCCTCGATAGCTTCGCCAAAATCAAAACGGCGGCCGAAGTTTACAAAGCGCAAATCCATGCCTGTTCTGCATGAGCATCTTGAACCTGGCTCACATATTAAAACCCTTCCCGCTCACAATGACTCCATTACTGCTATGGATTTTGATCAACCGTTTGGGACAATGATCACAGCTTCACTGGATGATACGGTTCGCGTCTGGGATCTGAATCTGGGCCGTTGTATGGGATTTTTGGAAGGCCACACCGCTTCGGTCAGATGTTTGCAAGTGGAAGACAATATTGTGGCGACTGGAAGTCTGGATGCTACCATCCGTCTGTGGGATCTGAGCCGCGCAAAGTACGAACCTTACGAGCATAAGATTTCGAATGGTGACGACGATGCAGCAGAAGACGATGAAGACGATGGACTTGGGTTTGGTAACGAAGCAGAAGATGCGCCACCACCTCCACCACCAGATGCCATGAGTGAATGTCCACTTTTCACTCTCGAGGCCCATGTCGATGAGGTCACTGCTCTGCACTTGCGAGGCGATACACTAGTCTCTGGTTCAGCAGATAAAACCCTTCGTCAATGGGATCTCGTCAAAGGCCGCTGTGTACAAACTCTAGATGTTCTCTGGGCTGCCGCACAAGCCTCTTCCACCATGAATTCTGTTGAAGCCCAATGGCGGCCAACAGGTCGATCTGCTGAGTCTGGTGCTGACTTCGTGGGCGCTCTGCAGGTTTTTGACGCTGCTCTAGCTTGTGGAACAGCTGACGGAATGGTCAGGCTGTGGGATCTAAGAAGTGGCCAAGTACACAGAAGTCTTGTTGGCCATACAGGCCCAGTGACATGTGTCCAATTCGACGATACCCATCTTGTTACAGGTAGTGCTGATCGAAGTGTCAGGGTAAGTGGGACCTCAGCTCTTGACTTCAATTTTTCTCATTCAAGACACATTGTACTAACTCAATTTGCTCACTCTAGATATGGGATCTTCGCATGGGTACCATTTTCGATGCCTATGCCTATGATAACCCAATCACATCGATGATGTTCGATACTCGTCACATAGTGTGTGCTTCCGGAGAAGATGTCGTCAAGGTCTATGATAAAACTGAGGGTAGACATTGGGATTGTGGCGCTGGTGTTACCACCTCAGTTGAAGACCGAATGGCTGGTGCTAAGACAAGCATCGTGGAGAAAGTCAGACTCAGGGATGGATATCTCGTTGAGGGACGACGAAGTGGTGAGGTGGGCGTCTGGACTTGTTGATCGATCACGCCTCCCTATCTCATCATGGACATCGGCGGCCAGGAGACTCGCCACAATCCATATATACAACTGTACAACCCTAAGAACGACTTCCCTCCGCTATAGATGATTAGACAGGATACTAACGAGTCAGTCAGCCCATGACGGGCTTACACGCTTCACTTGTATGAGTATACGGGGCAGAGAGCAGAGAAATATGAGTTTTGCCCTTGCCTTAAAAGTGTTCCGCAGGGAACATTCATACTATCCATCTCCCTCGATGGAAGTATCCTACCTGCCTAATGTAAACTTTGTACTCCGTTCCTCAAGCACCTGATTCATCTTACGAGTACTTGCACAAATTCGCAAGAGTCACCCGAGTCAGCAGCCACCCTATCTATCTCACGCCATGATTCAGAGTCGCGGCGGAAAGCTTCTCCGGTCAATACACATGTGGATTAGGGCAGGAAGGCAATTTCGACCTCATCGTCTTACCTGTTCTCACGGTAGTACTACCAAAACGTCACTTGAACGACTTCAAAACGACGCTTCCCTTCAACTTTACTGTCTTTCTGTTTATATGTACCTAGTAACCTCTACCTCTAGTAGGCTATGGAAGCACCGTCCCCGTTAGTTAACTTATTGAGCACATTAGATTATTGTAATTAGCGATGCTAAGCGATTATAAAGACTATAGTCTACTATAAGTTAGGCACCTATTTAGGCTACGCAACGGATTAGGCTAAACCTAGTTAAAAACGTAGAACCTAACCTAATAGGGTTAAGTTAATCGGGTTTTTAAAGTAGCTAAAAACCTAATAGATTTTTTAATTAGATTAAAAAAATAGAGGATAGGTATTAGGAACGGATAAGCGCCGCTAAGCGAGCGCCGAGATTCTAGTATATAAGAGCTACTTACCGTATACGAGTCTCAGGAGAACCTTATGCTTAGAGCTTACTACGATAGATACGTTAAGGTATTACTATAAGAGTATAAGTAACTTAACGAAAACACTAAGATAATCGATTAATTACTATATAGTCCTTAGAACATCGACTATAAGAACTTAAGGAGTCTAAAAACCTCGTATACGATCCGTATAGTCCCTAAGATCTTATATACCGTGCCCCTTAGTATTTTAGGACTAGTCTTAGTATAGGATAGATACTTCTAGGGTCTATCGTAGTCCTATTCCGTAGTAATTACCCTCCTCTCCCGAAGTATACTCGTCCTCGAGTATAGGAGTAGTAGGTAAAAAGTAGTATTCTAGTATAGCGCTATATACGTTCTATATTAATATTAAAGAAAACGTAATACGTTTCCCTAATCTTAGGGTCGCTCCTAATCCTAACTTATCCTACTCTTAAGGATTATTTCGTATTTACTTTAGTTTACCTAATTCTAGCGAAACTTCGTATACTTCTTATATCCTAGTATAGTATATATAGTAAGCTATACCTATAAGGTTAAACTTTATTAAGACTAAGCGATACCCTATTAACGCCTAGTCACGTGATTAGGCTTATATAAGCTAGGATTACGTGGTATCCATTAGGTAAGGCTATACTTAAGCCTTACGGAAGATTCTATAAAACGCTATTCTATTCTAT